ACCCTTGGTGTGTTTAATGATGTGCCACTTGCATGAGGGACCTTGTTCGCACCGGGCGGCATTCGGTATTTCGTCGCCGAGTCGGGAACTGCCATGTTATTATGGTATGGTCATTGCTTTACATCCTTGCTGATTTTGGTGCTGATGCCAATATTCATTTGTTTGTTTGCAGCGAAGCGGAAGAGATATATTTAGAGGTTTCTGGCACCGTGATGTTTCGCAGCGAAGAGAGCGGTTTGAAATCCCATCAATCGTTACAGTACCTGGAATGGATGTGCTGCAGGGTGACAGCTGTTTGACACAACCCTTCCTTCTGTTTCGGTTCTATCAGAAGCAACATCAGCTTCCGACTTGTACCTGCTCTCCACACTCCATTAGCTTTAGCGGGATCAACGCTGTAGTCGCTAAAATAAGGTGAGCTAACAGGGCGGGATCGGTACCGTACCTTCCAAGGATGAGGTGTGGAGGCTGTGAGTGAGTCTTTCCTCAACCCCGTTGCTCTTGCTCATTCCATCCCCAGATGACACGGGCCTACCGGACAAGCATCCGCGCTTGCTTCACCTTGAGGTCAAACTACCAGAAGCTCCCTCCCGCCTTCCCCCTCCTCTAGCTTATCTTACCTTACCTGGTGTCTCCTGTCAGTCGCACTTGGGATACATGTAGTACATAAACCCTCCTTCCCTCCCTCCAATTGAACCATCCGATTGCTTCCACTTACACCTGTGCCTGCCTGTATCATCTATCCATTGCACCCGTGGACCCTCCACTCTTCTCATCGCCTGATTAGACTTGGCCACCGCTATCCGTACACTAAGGTACCCTACCAACCACACTCCATCAGATCCATTACCTATTACGCCAAACGTATAAGTAGCTGGACACCGCCAACACCTTCACCTTGCTACCACCACAACAAACTTCTGTCTTTTGTCACATCCAACTCTATCACAATGCCTAGAATCACCGCTCCCGTCTCAAAGCTCACTCGCTCTCTGGCCGAGTCTCAGCGCCATGCCGGTATCGCTCTCATGCCCAAGTATGCCGAGCTCCTTGGAGCTTCTTCAGAGCAGTCCCAGCACTCTGAGGTAAGTTTCTACTCTTCCAATCAAGTGGCCATTGCAGCTCTTGTACTAACAATGCTTCCAGTCCCGTGGTCTCAAGACTACCCACCGCCCTACTCCTCAGCCATCTCTTTCTGGTCGCCGAAGGCCATTGATGCAGAGCTTCCATTCCTCAACACCTTCTCGTGCTCCTGTCAACCATGTCGACAGCACAGTCTTGCCCAAGATTCATGCTACTCCCAACTTCAACGAGCCTCTCCCTCGTATGCCTCTTCTCCCTGACAACTATGGCGCCTACCACAGCTCAATGTCCGATGCCGCCGACTTGTATAGCAAGCGGCCCGTAATCTTCGCTGTTGACCCTGATGTCGTCGTTCCCGGTGCTCCCATGGCTACCATGGATGCTGTGAACATGGACAGCATTGATGTCAAGTTTGTTCATGAGCAGCCTGCTCAAGAAACAAAGGCAGATGACTTTGACCGAAGTACCTTTCTCAGAGACGTCTTCGGCGGAATGATTCAGGATATTCTTCCTGGACGCACGCTCAGCAAAAACTAAGAATCAAGCAAAAACATGACAGGGACGATAGGGCGGAGTCTGGTTATGCCAGCTACTCATAAAGAGAGCTGATGATCTATTTAAGCGTTTTAATTTGTTTATGCGAAGCAAGGTGCGGTTGCATCAATTAATAGCCCGTTACAAGAGGCTCATGTGGCTAAGAGCCATCCTTTTATATATATATATCGATACACAGTGATAAAAGTGAAAGCCTAAGTGGCAGACTGGAATCAATAGATCCTTTGTTATCCTTGCAACCCAAGCTTGATAACTCTGAATAATGACTATCAGACAATCGACGTAAAGGTCCACAAGCCCACTGACTCATCTCGTTGTGTTACCAAATGATAACATGTGCAAGTCGAATGCCATTGGATACTATGCCAGGTTTGTGTTGATGTTTTATTGCATCTATGGTATCATCTCTCGTAAACACCACCACCTGCATTGCCTTGCTCTTTTTGGTCCAAACTCAACGTCCATCCTTTTCGGCCCTTTCCTATCAATCTTGGAGTCTTCACCAATTGTGGTACAGCACATAATCGCAACTAACTATTAATCGACCAACGAAATCCATTCCCTCCCCTATAGCCCGTCCCCTTGATATTCGTGTGATCCTTTATCGCTTCTTGAGTGATGGTCTGGGCTTGCACTCGTCCTGGTTGACAGGGTGCAACATCACCTTGATAGGGTAGTTCTGAGTGTTGTGCTGGTAGCCCTTGGCCCAGTCGTAGCCTACAGCGTAGGCGAAGATGGAACCGTTCTTGTTGAAGGTTGTGGAAGTGATGCTGCCACCAACGTTAGGATAGCCCTTGAGACGATGCTTGGCGTCCTTGTCCCAGAAGTGGAATGTTCCATCGGAACCGGCAGTGCTGAATGTGCCATGAACAGGGTGGAAAGAAATATCGTTGACGGCATAGACATTGGTGACGCTGTTGGCCGGGGGGTCGCGATGACACTTGAAAGAGAAGTTGGAGCTGTAATGTGTTAGTCTAAGCTGGTCAAAAGATGCGTGTTCAAGAGGCTTCTTACCTGGAGTCCTTGTCTTCAACGTATTGGATAGCGCAACGACCCTCGATACTACCAATAGCAAAACCAGCAGAGTCTGTAAAGCAGCTAACCACCCTGGTCTGCCACTTGAGAGGGCTCTGCAGGGTTTTATAGAATTTGGTAGGGTTCTTGAGATCGATAACATTGATGTATCGATCGGCGGTGCCGACAACGCAGAGATTATCGCGGACGTCCATCGTATAAACTCGCTCCTGGCATTGTACGGTTGCCGCAGGTCCCTGTTGTCTAAGATCCCAGTACTTGATCGTCTTATCCCAGGAGCCCGAAACCACCATGGGGTTACCATCGTTCATGAAAAATCGACATGTTCGCACTGGCTGGTCGTGTGTGCCGATAACAGCGTCCTGCTGGGAAGCAAGATCGCAGACTTTGACGTTCTTGTCGGCGCCGGCAGAGACAACTTTTGTTCCATCCTAGAAACCCAGTTAGTTGCCAATTCGTTTCGTTCGATCAATACATCATCGTACCTTGGAGAAGTCGCAGTTCAACACAGGTTGGCTGTGCTCGTAGGCGTGTCGGCCCTGACTCTGGCCATTGGCGGCAATCTCGTAAATGCGAACCTTGTTATCCCAACTGGAGATGGCCAGGAAGTCGGGTCCGTTTGGCGCTGGTGAGAAGGAAAGGTCGGAGATGGTATCGGTTGGAGGATCAGAAAGCGCGACGTCTTGCTTGAGATCGCCTACTGTATTGCTTGTTGTTGCTGCAGCTGAAGCACCGCCAAAGAGGGTCGACATGTTTGCGGTGTGTTGTAGGAGATAAGTTGAAAGCCAGTTGGTGGCCCTTTTTTTTGTCTTTTTGTCTTTAGGATCCCGCTCCTGAGACTCAAAACTAAGTGGCTTGTAAGCGAAGCTTCCAACTGGCCAAGCGACTGATCTCAGATGAAAGGAAGATCTTTAGAGAATTGATGTTTGCACTGTTGAAGCTGGTTGCGCCGCGAGCTTTGTACTGAGAATGAATAAACAGGCACGAAGGCAGCGACCCAGCCTTCTCAACGCGAAGTTCGGATTGGCCAACCCGCGTCAGACAAAAAAAGGCAGCAAGCTAAGGTACAGCCACACCTGGGAGCTCTGATTCATGACGCCACACTTCAGCCCCATTTTGTGCATAAAAATTCAACTTGAGCTGGATACGATTTTTCCTTCTTCTTTCTTCTCTTCATCCGCGCCCCTCGCTCAAAAAATCGCCATTCGAAGCTTACAAACAGAGACACTGCGATTAATCGCAGCGTCTCGCATTCATTCTGGCTTTGGGAGAAAGTCCCCGGACATCTTCGTTTCGACGGAGCTTGCGGAAACGCGCCGCCATAGAAGCACAGCGGCTGACTTCTGCACCCAGGCCCGCGTCCTGCACCGGCCCTACCCTCCGTTACATCAGTTTGTCAAAGGCTCTGAATCGCGTTACCTGCCGCTCTCGGTCCCCTTGGATGAAGATATGAGTCCGCTGCCGAGAGATTGGTTGGTTTCGAGACAGACGAGTCGCCTGGCAGGTTGATGGTTGGTAGACGCTTGGTGCTCGCACGTGTGGTGTCAGGTCGCAGAGGATTTGTTGTCGAGATTGATAGGTATGCGATTGCTCGGCGAAAGCTGGGTTACTCGATGGGGCTCATTCTTGATGCGAGGGGCCGGCATCCCGTTGACCTTCTGGGTGACGGTCTTTTCCTTTTTTACACTCTAAACTTCACTGGAAGTTTCCCTCTTTGGGAGAGACCTGAGCTTGGATGAGATGGGTTGAAGTTTTTATGATGATGACCAAACATAGAGTCAAGCACCGAGTCAGAAAAACTGACGTTGTGGACCACCAAATTATGTCAACTGAAAAACTTCAAACTTCTCGTTTCGGCCAGGCATCGATGCCAAGATAGATAGTAGCTACAACTTTGACTCTTGACGTTTCGATGTGATATTGAACTTGGTCTAGGCTGCGAGGTCTTTGGCCTCCTGTTCAACGGAGCCGGCCTACAGGCTACCATACTTTTTTATGGATGATTTGCAAAGGAACCTACCTGAAAATCTTGCATTCTCCTTCCGTATATTCGACTCAATAATGCATTGAAACTGGATCACAGGGGAATAGGTTTTCTTATGATCTTCTAGTCTACGTCTTGAGAGCCTCCGATGTGGTCTTCAAGCGTCATATATTCATTAACGGTGCCCACTGATGAAGCACTCGAGATACTACCCTGTTTCCCTTCTAGCTCTGACAATCCTTCTATACAACGCCGATATCTTAGGACGGGTTGCTGCCCACGTATATGCTCTAGTTCTATTGATCCGACTTCGTCTGGTCTGACAGATTCTGTCTCGCTTGATTTAGGGTGTAAACTTGCCAAGAGCGCCTTCATTGCCTCCGTCAAACAAGTCATGCAAGTTGTCGAGCTCCTGAAAGTGCTTTGCGTACTCCATACCCTTACGTCGCTGCGCCTCAACACGTCGCCAATCCCATTCTCCAGGGACATCCAAGTCCACATCTGAGACATCAGCAGAAAGATCGCCGAGTTGCTGTTCACCAGATGTCCAACCTCCAGGTCGCTCAGGCAGTAGACCAGAGGCGCCGCCGAGCATGATAGCTGGGTTCACAGTGAAGCGACCCAGCTTGAAAACGTACTTGCTTATGGCCGTAGCATAGATCTTCTTCTCCCATCCACCGGCAGCATCTTGAGGGCCTCGCGCAGATACCTTCTTGAACGTGGGGTCCAGCCATGATGTTGGCTTAGCAGCTCCTTTGGGGATGTAATGTGTCACGATGTATAACCACTTGCGGTCCCAGCATAGAATGCGACTCCACATCTCGAAGCTCTTATACGCAGGGATCTCGCGCTTGAAGCTGCACTCGACAGCACCAAGGATGATGCTCATCTGGCCCTTGATAGGCTGATCGGTCTTGGGGTCTAGGACAATCTTCGTCTTGGTGTTTTGGGCGAGTGTAATATAGGATGCGCGGCAGAGATATGTGACAAGGTGAGATCGTGAGACGTCGAGATCGGCGAAATAGGTCGAATTAGACTTGTGGAAGTTGTAGTCAATCTCGAGAAGAGGGGCGTGGGTGGTAGAGATCACGGGTTTGAAGAGGGCCTCGGGGCCAAGATTTGGCGATTTGCGCCAAAAGGTATGGTAGAAGATCACGTAGAAGACTCGGTACTATAGAGTGTCAGGGTGTTATACCAAAGCCAGGATAGACCATCGAGACTTACAGTCCAAGCAAAGGGCATGCTCTTCCAGTTGAACACTACGAACAGTAGCAACAGGATCCGCGACGTGCGGCCAGGTCCTGTAAGGAAAGCCTTGATCAGAGGACCCCAATTGACTCGATAGGCAGCATATCCAGCAGAACCTAGAGCGAGAGGCATGATGACAGGCACCACATGGGAAAGCCCAAACATTTTCTTATTTGCGCCAGCCATGATGAGCGATTGTGGTGTTTGCGACAACCCTGAGGTACTAAGGTGAAGATGCGGATTTTGCTCTCGTCGCATAGCCAATCGCGCGATTCGGCGGAGCCGGGTGAGCTCTGCCGGAGCTCGCTCACCCTGTACCCTCCTCCAGGGTGAGCCAGGCACACACGCAGAATGTGGCTTGAGGTTGACACGTAACTAATGCGCATTGCTACATTTGATTGGCTTTGCTCTCACGTCACGGTAATTGTGTGATCAGAACGCGTGTTTGAACGCGTTGCTTGCATCAGCATGTGTCGCTTCATATTTCCTCGGTTTGCAAGTACATGTCTCCCTTTACCTAGCATCGACTATCGACATGTCTTACATCCTGATAAACTATGATTGCTCGCCGAGTGAAGGCATCTTCCGCTACGCCTTTTGTCAACTACCCTGATCATGGTTCTGGCGACTGCAATACTTTCAAGAGACATCAAGGCACCCACGCAATGTTCCTTGGGCTGCCAGAAAACATGATTTCTGACGCACGCCACACAATTGAGACGGTGAAACAATGACCGGTCGTGTAGCTATGACGCTTGCAGAGGACAACCAACAGTCCCACCGACTATTCACGACCATCCACTACGAAGAAGAGCTTTGTTAGATCCTGTTCCGCTTCGATTTGCCAAATCAACCGCCATATTGGTCCTGTGCAGGCGTTCGACCGTTGAAGATTTGCGCAGACAGCGATGCTTCGAGTTTGTTCGCCTCTCGATATCATCGGTCAGATGAATATGACCAGATACCAGGGAACGGAAGGCAAACAGATATGGGTTGGTCTAGATCTCGCTGGTACGGGTCCCCGGATGAGCCTGATCTCGTTGTGGATGACTGTTTGGCTGTTGGATATCGGGTTTGCTTCCGATAAAGTCTGACACGTCTGTGACTTGGAGGACGCCGTATGATTGATGTCGATTTGGCCAACTCCTCAGCCGATCCGTGGTGGGGACATCACGGATAACCTGTTCGGGCGCTTCGAGGGACAGCAAATAGAACAGAATGCATGCTACCCAACCAAGACAGCGACCAGCACGTCTATAACAAACACAGGCTCTTATACCAACGACGACTAGACCCATCTTAACCTTCGTCCTTACTTATTCAACCTCTCTACCGACTCCCACTCGCACTCTCTCGCCGTATCATCATCACCCCTGCCTTGGTTGCGTTATCACTTCATCGAAACCCTGCTTCACTGGGCGGATAGATTGTACTTGGAAGTGCGCTCGTCGGCGCACGAATTTTCATGGAATGCCCGTGTTGAGCTGCACCTCGGGAAGGTGATGCACCGTCTAATTCAAACCAACTGAGCTACTTCTGACATTCGAGGTGCCTCCCTTCCGATCTCTACCGATCTCGCCACCATGTTCCCCAAGGATTTTTTCCTGACAGATATGAACCGAGTGAGTGAAGGCGGGCTGATCATGTGAGGGCCGATGGATTGTAGGTGAAACCGTACGAGAGTCTAGCACGACGAGACGACGAGACGACGATTGCCCATATGGATTGATGCATTTCTCCAAGTGGAGCGAAGCAAATTACTCAATTATCATTCACCTACCGGGTTTAAGAACCGAACTCCCTAATGGGTGAATTGAACTTTGATGGTTGTGTAGCCATTGTATCGGCCTTGTAAATGATCTTATGACTCGGCCAGGGGAGGAAGTAGTTAGCTAACTTTCGTACACCATACTAATGATAACTTGTAAAGTTGGTACAACCGAACATGAAGCGTACAACCACGTATGTTTGTTTCCCTTCCAAAGTCCCAGAAATCGAAAGGCACGAACGGGTAGCGCCATCATGACAAAAATCTCATACCAAGAACAGTTGTATTAAAAGTTATTCTCAAGAGTAACTCGTGATCGTCGAGTCTGTCATAGGCGACCGACTTGGGCGTGGTTGTAATTGTTCCCGTGCTGCATGGCCCTGCTACTGTTGAAAAAGGAATTGCTAAATTCATATCGTAGGTAGCGCCTGCATCCAATCCGAGACAGACACCGTTCATAGATGCGATATGGAGATCAGATAATGGAGATAGCCTCCGGTTTTGTCAGCTGGTGGCCGTTATGGGATATTTATTAGTACTGATACTGGCTGAAAGCTCCCCCCAGAACATATGAGTCGCATCAGAGGGGATAGTGGCCCCAAGCAAGATCTATGTTGTCGTAACAAGTGACATCTAAGCCTACAGTTATCAATTTAGCTGAAAGCAGCGATGAGGGCACAAAATGTGAGGAGCATGTGCTCATAAACGATTCTGAAGGACTATTCTATCATGCTGGATTCGGTTCCATGACACTTGGGGGCCGGGCTTTGCTCGGTATCCGTATACATTCATACCTATTTCCTGGGAAATGAAACCCAACGTCGCTTCTGTGGCTCCTTTCCGAGGGTGGTGGAGAGTGATGAGGAGTGCAATGATTCTCGAAAAGGCCTCCCAAGTCTTCTCATTGTCTGTGAATCCTGTACTCAGCTCGTGGTCTAAGCTTACAAAAGCATGAAATTACGCATCCTTGATTGTCTATCCCCATCAAGGAACATAGAACTTGCCGAAAGCGTGCGAAGCTCTGATTACGTCCGTTCTATGTCTATGGATAGGTTGTTCTTGGAAGTTACGAAAAGATTAAGCTCTCAATATTTGTTCTTAATATAATGCGTCGCAGAGGAACCCAAGAGCCTCCTGTGTAAAACCTAATCGTGTCAGTGAGTTGTAAACAGTAACGGAACGGAAGGCCACGCTTAACGGAAATTCGTGGACAAGTTCTAGTCGCGCTAATCGGTGGTATAGAGTAACCATCCGTCAACGCTCGTTCAGAAACTCTCGGTTCTTTCTGTAGGGCCGCACTCTCACACATGCCTGTTCTACAGGGTGCAGAAGTAGTAATAAGTCCTCTGTTGTTATTGTTTCGGATTTGTCAAAGGACTATCCTAAAGAGAGACTTGAATTGTCTAATTCAGCAGCTATCCACTGGCTGGAGCGTTAGTAAGAGTATTGAATCTTGTGATCAGGCAAAGATGCAAGTGGAAGGTTGGAATAGCCACTAGTCGAGTACACTTGGAGTGAGAGAAAAGATAGTGAGAAAACTATATCATCATGGGGCGTAATATATACTGTTTTGTTTAGCCAGTGTTTTTAGTATTACCAAGCATTGCTCTGTAGACGTTGAGCTTGGTTTCACACCATAGCCTGATTAGGTATCTGCTATGGTATCTTGCAATCAAGCCCCTTCAGGCACTCTCGATCAGTAGGCGTATCGTATGTAGGCAACGACATCCTGGGCACTACGGGCATGTTGACAAGCTGGAAATTTATGTAACAAGGGCGCTGCAACAAGTTTGATTCTTGGAAACGAAGCCTTTGGTACTATTTTAGCCTCCTGTTTCTCTCGAAAATCGTTCGCACGGTCGGCTGGTAACGTTGCCGATAAGCTAAGGTTAATGACGGGATTGAATTGTTTACTAGACGCGTTCGCAGTTGAGACGGTCCCGTCTCGATAAGCGAGTGAGCTAACATATCCGCAGCGCGCTACGCCCGGCAGTGTATGGAAAGCTCTCGTAGAGTCTTTGGTAAGAACAGCATACCTGGTGGCGGGTGCGCCTGGAACGTGAGTGCAGACAGGCATTTGTTTATCCCCCTTCCCCACCTTGGACTTGCTACAATAGGTGGGACACGGTTGATGGCGAGGAAGACTAGTGCGTTATTGGGGTAGTTACACTGTGTTTTCGGCACGCGCGCTGGTCCGCACAAGATATGGCTCAGCCCTGTCTACAAGGGGTTTGTTTCCACTCACGTCATACAACCCGATTCGACACTCGTGTCACTCCTTTCCCTTTTGCTGATGGTGATGGTTGGCCACTATTCATGAGGCTGTGAACATGATTCGCCTTGCATGCCTTGCCTACCAAACATGACAGAGCTCAACACGGTAATCCTTGCGAAATCGATAGCCTCATTGCACAGAGTAGATCGTATTACAATAATCATGTCTCCGTAGACAATTTCCCAATACTTCTAAAAGGATAAACGCTCTCTGCCTTCTCAAATCACCTAACATATTCTTATTTGTGCACCTTATCCGACAAGCAATAGCATTTTACGTATGCCATGGACTTCCAGAGGCGAGAGCTTCTACCACCTATGGATCAAGTTTCCTTTCGGTCCTACATCAGAATTTGTCTATGTTTTCCTTTGTCACCAGGGACTAACACGGTCCACACTCTACGCTGGCTCAAGACTGCTTTAAATTCTGTAACGGAGAGTCAGCCCTTTCTTGGCGCGAAACTAGGAGTTGATCTTGAGTCCGGAAAAGTTTACGTTGAACACCATCCACAGCCGTCAATTCCCTTCACTGAACAAGATGCAATGAATGTGTCTTCATACTCGCAACTTAAAAAACAAGGCTTTCCACCGACTGCGTTTGTTAGCCAGCATTTATCATGGATGAACAGTTCGCCTGGAGAATTGACCGACATGGTTCAAGTCAGGTACAGCTTTATAGATGGTGGCTTCCTACTGTGGGTATATCTCAATCATGCTGTAGCTGACGGAAGCTGCTTCGCTATGTTTCTGGAACGTTTCGCCGCTGCAACACAGAGCCGATCGCGTCAGGGTCTTCAATCACAAAGCATGACCCTACAGTCCCCCAGCATGATATCACAGGCGTTATGTGCAACAGAGCACGGCGGTTCGCAGGATACCAGCTTGGATATTTGTCCCGAATATCATATAGTCGATGCGAAATCTGGGGCAAGACATGGAATAGCCATCATGCCATGTCCACTGCCGTGGGAAGCAAGTACAGGCCACGAGACGATCTTCAAGTTTCAGAAAGCAAGACTTCGTCAGCTCTCAACCAACCTACAGCGCGAGGGCCACTTCTCAAAACCGCCTTCTATGTTTGCCTGCCTCGCTACCCTGGCATGGACGCAGGTGACTAAAGCACGGCAGTTATGCGATTTCGAAACGAGCAAACCGGGGAATCAGGAGCTTTCCAAGGTGATGATTCCGGTTAATTGGAGAAGACGTGCGTTTCCTAACGCTACAAAGACGTTCTTTGGGAATACTACAGTGCTTCCAATAGCTATTCTTCCGGTTCACCAACTCGTACAAGCAGCTGACGGCCACGCATCATTGGCTGCTGTAACAAGAAAAATCCAGGACCTGATCGACTCGGTTGATGAGGCTTTCGTGACTCGGCGTTTAAGGATGATGGACGCTGTAGATCCACGCGATGTTTCCGTTAACTTAAGTCCTGACAATAGCAGCGACCTAAGTATAAATGCTTGGGAATTTTTCGGTGCTGATACACAATGGGAGATTCCTGGTGTTCCATCGAGCAGTCCGGATGCCATACGACGAGGACGTAGTAGGGTCAGTGGTAACGGTGTTCTCATACTGCCGTCGCGGCAAGCCTCTGACGACATGGAAGTCTCAGTCACGTTGCAGAATAACACTTTGGCTGAGCTATCACGAGCTGAAGGGTGGATGATGTGGGTTCACCGTTCGCCTGTCTAGGTCGCTTGCTTGGAGGTGGCTAGGGTGATTGACAGGCGTCTAGAACTTGAAGTTTTTAACACAGGGCAGGACATACTGATACGAGGCATTCAGGCTTGGCAGGGTATGCCTCGTGAAACATTCAACCATCTCCTGCCTCATACCGGATAGCGCATGCAATTCGGGTACTAGAATGGGGTTTTAAGATGGAGTGAGCGTATCGACGTATCTGTCTGGCCAAGGTTCCTGGCACTCAGAATACTAGAAAGCTTGATGTCTTTTACACGATGTTTGTATCAATACATAAAGGGAAGTTCACATTTGTTGGCGTGACCCAATGTAATAGCGACCTGCATAATTAGATGATGCGAGACCACTAGAACAGTGCACGCAAAACCCAGCAGTGCTCCATGGCACCTGATCTTACCATGTAATAGGCTAGAGCATAATTTTGAGGAGATTAGCAAGCAGATGTTTGAATGGATCGGCGCGCCTGCAGGATCGACGCCACCTTTTCGCGTCGAGTAGCGAGAACCCATGATGAAGACTAATGTTCGTCTTTTAAGCTTTAGCGCTATCAATACCCTTTTTCTTTTTTTCTTTTCTTTTTCTCTTATAGCGAGAGGGGTCCCAATGCAGAGTTACGATATAAACCTTGGAAAGACTTTGGTGTGCAAATGATTTGTCCAGATCAAATGCGGTATGTATAGCTCTTTTACAGTGAAATACTTGTGCAGATACACACACACTCCAGCGCGTTCCTGTCAGTAATATTCCCTCCAGCACAGGTTTACGAACACGTTCTTGGGATCATATACTGTTCATGTCAGCTTATACATATTTTCGTATCTAAAGACATCGGCGCTTAATTTCACAATAACTGGCAGAGACTCGCCCATCGGAAATTGCTGGAAGATGCCAGTCATAAGCCATTTAAAAGCTTGGGAGCTAGTGTCAGCTTTCATACTGCGCACAAAGCAAGGTGCCGAAATCAGCCCATCTGTAGAGACTGCTTGCCTATAGCGCTCAGTAAACATGTGGCCAGTTATGGAACCGATTACGACTTTTGATCTTCTTACGTTTCCGAATTGCTCCCTGCTCCGACCGGACATGTATCAACCCAAAACGCGCCTAGACCACGCTTTAGCTACTGGAGATAGGATGCTGAGCACTTGGTTCTCCAACGAGCCTGTCAAATTAAGCAAGATGGGCTGGAAAAAGGTCGATTACCGAAAAGAATGGAACTCGCTTGGACCTTAGACAGCGTAGCGACTGGCCCTATTTGTCCCGAGCGTAATAGATACCACCGCTACCACCGCAAGTAGGAAGCATGAGCAGGAAAGGCTATACGATTGAGACGGAAGCTACAGCGACCCTTTCACGGCGCTCACATGTTCCACACTCGCGATGATAGCGCTACGGGATAACGAGGCGTGCTCAAGGGCCGAGCGTGACGATGCCCACTTTTGTCCCCAATTCATTTTCACCGAGGCTATTTGCCAAGTCCTAATCGGACCAAACCAAAAACTGTCGAGAAGACGTATCTCCTAGTTACAGCGGAGACACCGTACATCAGGCTGTAAGAGCCTAGCACCACTAGCGCGAAGCAACCAATGAATGCGGCAAGACGGCGTGTCAATATGCGCTCTCTCCAACCTCGACGTTGATAAACTCATTTTCCGTGTCACCAGAATCTTCATCGTGATCCTCGTTGCCGATCAAATGTCTAAGCTTCCTAGTGCGACGCTAAATTTGTGCTCTCAAGTGTTGGTTCAGCTATGCCCGACATGATAGTCGAGGTGTTGTTAGTTCTTTCATCATGCTGAAGAGCTAGGGTTTTGTCCTCTGATTGTCCAATCGTGTCAGTGGCCATAATTGTCAAATATTCTAGTCTGGACTGATGTGCGTGCAAACTCTAACGCTCGCGTATCATAGACTTTGACATACTAGGTAAAAGCTGAACGTCCTAGATCGAGCTCCACGCACCACCTCAACAAAAGGGACAAAGTCCATTGGACCGCAACCGTCGAAAGGGTTGCGACTGTGTTCAATGGCAAGGGTCCGTTTTGGGATTTGAGCTGTCAGGTGATGCCGATCTGCCTAGTACTCTCGATGAAGGACGTAGGGATTATGACATGCCAGGGGCCTTGCAACCACATGGAGCCGTTTTTGTTTAACCCGTGTAAGTCTCCGACGCTAAAATCCCATGTCACAAAAGTAGAGCCTGGTCAGTTTAAGTCATTGCAAGAAGACGCTCGAGATCATCTAATAGAAAGGTTTTGTCCTGAAATACAGGTAAGGAGGCTCGCTAGTTCTATTTTCCCGGGCATGACAATCACTTTAGCTGACGAGCGTCAAGATAGAGAGCTCTGAACCAAGAAGTGAATATTAAGACTCTTGGTTGTATTTTGAGGCCGACTCCTGACTTTGGCTGTATTGAGAATGCCCACTCTGATGTGATGTTAATTCGACTATGTGTGAGACCTTGCCCTTAAGAGGCTTCGCAATGCTGGAAGACGGGCTGGTTTATCATTTCCGGAAGAGGAACCAACAGTGTGATGCGTCTAGACAATGGAAGTGAGACGAGTGAACATGTCGCTGGCGCTTTAATACCAGGCAGTCCGCTTCGCGGCGAAGAAACAAGAAGTGTACCTGCCAACTTATCTTGTATACTGATCAAACCTTTCCTAGTCACTCTTCTGCTCTCCCTGATTTCACAGGCGATATGGTTTCTCCAGCCTCTGCCTTGGAACCCACCGGCTATATGCCAATCGAAACAGTCGCAGATGCCCGGACAGTTATCAATCAATGTATCTGTGGACTTCTAAAGCTAGTCCCTCGCGGTCCAAACGATCAAGAAGCTGCTCAATTCATAGGGCAGAACGCAGTCTTTGTCTTTGAAGTTCTGGACCAGGTGTCCAACCTACCCGCCTGGTCTGAGCCCGGATTCTGCATCACAGATATTCCGAGTGACACTGGAGTCGACCTCAGACGGAAATCTATAACAGCCATGGTGAACGGCCGAAAATATTGTGTTGAAGTGATTTGCAGCTCGCAGAATCTTACGAATCCCGATCTGCAGCCCAGACACGACAATCAACACGGACGTCCTGATTCGCAATTGCTTCAGTCCTCAGAGTTGATTCTACCCGAAATCCACACGCCAACTCAAAAACCTGTGGCGAACTATGAGGCCTTTCTGTCAGAAGTGCGGCGAGACTGCAAGGATAACCAAGGTTTCGAAATGGAATGAAGACTATATAAACGTATTGAAGATAAGAGGACTTTTTAGCAGTACCGAGACTTGAGTCGAGATCAGTCTTTGGCCTCTAGATATCATTGTTATACGAAGTTTTGAGTCATGAGTAACTAGAATCCTGAATTGCCCATAAAATTGAATGAGCTTCGCAAATCCTGTGGAACGTAGCCATCAGATCAGTCTTACCCAAGTCGTATCCATGGCGTCAATAGCATGTCAGATCACTAGGTTACATCTTTCCCAATACTTTCTACACAACAATGTCACCGGGTTTCGCCCTTTCGCGGGTAGCTAGAGGAGGGATGCCCAAGAGCGTCTCTGTGGTCATTCTTTCACCACTAAAGAGCCCAGAAGCGTCAAAACCCACAGCATGCAGTCACCATATCGATCATGATTTCGGAAGGCAGCAGGATAAATGAAGGCGTCCGAACTTGCTCAGCCGCTGGCTTTATGGCGCTTATCCTTGAGAAGCTTGTATTCTGGTCGATCACGCAGCAGATCCGCCGCATCTAGTAGTATATCCGTCATGAGAAGGGCTAAGACAGCTGGAATGTAGCAGACCTGAGCTTAACGCCACCTTTTGGCCACAAATTTCCTGGAGAGTGAATACCGACCGTACCGCGATCAAAACGTTTCATCCTGTTGTTACCTTGGCATCCATATCAACACCGAATTTTCATAGGGCCAACATTGGGGGATGGGAGAAGCAACAGTCGCCAAGCAACCCCTAACACTCGCAACCTAGAAGTCCCCCACATAAAGAACTGGTCAGGTCATTCCAATATGGGCACAGAAGGCTATAGCCCTACCGTAGATATTGTACAGCTACTCAGCATGGCTCGTGCCTGATGAATGCAATGTAAACCCCGACAGTCGCATGGCCATAGTCGTCGAGAAGACCTGGAGAAGAGCAGCCCAAGCCATTACCGAAGTCCTGTTTTAATGATTACTGGAGTTACTGTACATATAGGACCGTTTCTTCTTCTTCCTCCTGGGCGGCACCAACTGGATTAATTCGCGTCTGTGACCACACTGCGGATCAGAACCAGCTTTGGTCATACCGAGTCATGGCCTCCGGACTCGCCAGTCGGTTGGTAAAGATGCCGCCCCCCTCAACTTGGTTTATGTTGGAATGCAGCTATGTTATAGATCTGGATTGCCTTCAAAAGTATTGAACACATAAAAGACAACAAGGTTGAACCCTATGTCCTTTCACATTAATTGGTCGCCAAAAGTACCCATCAACGAGCACTGCACTGTCGGTTAAATCAAGATACACATCAGCACCGATGATAGTGGGATCGCTGGACGTGTTGATATGGCAACTGTCACTCCGCCTGCTCGGACGCAGTGTATTAGCAAGAAGCGAGCCCAATACATGGTTTGCCTAGGTAGCTTCAACACGCAAGGCGCACCTATCCACTAAGTCAGAAATACGACTGAACCCAGAATTACCGCCTGACTTATGCAGTAACGAGAATTATTACCATTTAAAGGATAGTGATAAACGGACATAAAGTGTTACGGGTAAATGCCAAATACGATCGAGCTATATTGAAACTTAGGGGGTACAACTGGGGAAAGGATACCCTTATAATAAATAGTGACACAGGCAGAGCGACTACTCAAGCCATCAAATAGACACGCACAGGCAAGATTTTCCTGCCGAAGCATTTTTGTAGTATCAATGGAACACACACCGAGCAGTGATGGCGCAGGCACGCGTGACAAATAGCATGGCACATCGTGCTCGAATGCAAGAACTAGATTGACAAACACCAAATGTTGGTAGGCAAATCTCGATACCAAACATCTTACCTTCCGCGTGATATCATAAGTACAGCTATCCAAGGTGAATCTGAGGGTGAGCCTGCTCAAGCGATTCTGAGGCATTCCGACTATAGTACTTCAACATTCATAGTGTAGTCGAGTGTATGAAGTTACACAGAAGTAGAGGGCAGCCACGAATGGCTTCACAAGTCAGAGGCATGGAACAACTCTCACGACCACCAACATGGCAATGCCGTCCTAAGCAATTGCCTTTCAAGTAAAGGAGAAAGCGATCCTGTCGAAGAACAGCTCGAGTTTCAGAGGAGACGGGCAAGGGCAGAGGCAACACCACTTGTGCTTATGGTGAACGCTACATAGCTACCGCGAGAGTGTCTAGAAATCTTGTAATCAAGATGTTACAAGTACTAAACAAAACCCATTAAATAAGCATAAAATAAAATAAACAATCAAACAAATAAAATAAAATAATAATTAAGCAATCAAAAATAACAAAGGGAGAAAAAAGTCTGTCACAGGGTCAGAATGGCTGACGCAGAACGTTGTTGGTAGAGCGACGACGGCGCAAGGTCTAAGATACAAAAGTGCCCAGTCAGATCTAGCTGTTTGTCTTCTTTTTGATGTCGACCAGCACAACGAAACCTGCATACCTTTTCCTGCTGTCTAGCCAGTAATGATACATAAAGAGCAAAACAGCAAAAGGACTTGATGAGGATAGCTAAGCGTGTCAATGAGCGGCGTTCATAGAAGGTGAATGGACAATGCTTGCCTATGGTTTAAATGTATTTCCGGACCGGAGACGCAATGTTGGCCTCGCCGCACACATCTCTGAAATGTTGCTTGTCCAGCCCCCGAATCTGTACTTCAAGTTTCGCCAGGTCCTCTTCACATCTTGCGATACTGGCCCAGCAGTTCCATTCACGAAGTCGTACCATTCTTCTGGCTATCCTTTCGATCGTGTTGTTTTTCTTTTTGATTTGGTTGCATAGTTTGCAATTCGTCTGTTGACTTCGTCGCTCAAACACAAGCCTCATTCCGCAGGTCTCACCAGTGCGGCCCTCTTTGTAGCACTGTTCTCGAAACCTGCCCCATTTCCAATAACCGCAATCCCAGACCACCAGGTCGTAGAAACACATTGAGATGCAGTAAAATAGCGATAAGAGGCGAAGAAGCTGTTTCCGTGGCAGTGATTGATCAATTGCTTGAAGAGCTCTAGCTGTAAGTTGAGTCTCCCTCCGCTCATATCTGCGACTGGATAAATAGTATTAGTCAACTCTCTATGTACCTTTCGAGAGCCTCCAAAGTCCTCGTAGTTAAGCTTCCTTGTTAGCACCCGGATGAATCATGTACGACATTGACCTGAATGCGCGACATGCAGGGCTATCAACCAACATACATTCAGTCGGCATTCTTGCCCTTCATAGTTAGGGTAGGAAAGCAAATTTGATTGTTCGCTTGGTCAGAGGTTTGTTGAACCAACATACCGTGGGAGCCAACATCCACAATGTTATCAGTCGCGCTTTTAGCGTGAAACACCGAACTCCATTCCGGGGAGGGTATCCGATCACAGTCTAGACATGGGTAGAGGACAGGGTACGAAGTTCCGCGCACGGGATGACGTTCAATGAACAAAAAAGATTAACTAACGAGACCATGAAGAGCTACTGATTGTGCTCGCAGACTCCAGAGCATTCGCACCCACGTCGGCGAGACCCCAAACTACTTCTAAGATCTTTTTCAAAGATCCTGAGAAAAGGCGATTGAGCATCACTGACACTGCAATCACTTTCCTTAAATGCGGAAGGAAGGGCAAGGTTGCACCTGTATGCTCGTTCTAGCACTATTGAACGAAGCTGATGGGGAAGATATACGTTGGGCGTTGACAAGCTGGAATGATAGCGGAACCAAGAGCGGGCAACGCGACGGTCACCGAATGCACGACTCGCATTTTTACCACCTCAATCCTCATTGAACATCTGCCGTAGCGTAACAACTGTTGAGAATATGTTTCCTGATTAAGGGTACGGCTGGAACTGTGAAAGGCAAGGGCCACATGGCAACAACCTGGTTGGACAGTGGCCCATGTCCGTACATGCACTGGCCGCAGCTCGATTTCCTAGGAAATGGGTTTCGGCTGAACGCAGGCAAGAAGGCTGGAAGATTTGATCAAAATAGATGTTGCTCAAGTTCCCTTTCGCCCCTACAAAGGATCTTGAGGCGCGAGTCATCGGGTAATTTACTGCAGCACTGGATGGCTGGCAAAGCAGCCGCTAGCTGAATTAGGTCCTAGTTTTATAGAACGCTGACTCGTCTTATGTATAAAAGGGCAAGCACAATGTTGACCAGCATTTTCCATTGTGCATTTTCTTTATCACTTCATTGGATTGTCTTTTACTCGGGTTCCTCTTACCTACGTGTTTCGTTTTCTGCACGCTTATCCAGTCAAACATCCTCAGCGCGATGAGATGCGAGTGGAGACGGGGTCGAGATGAACTGATGTTCTGTCATTCTCAGGACCAGGGTGAACCAAACTGTCCGGTCAATTGATGAGGGATAAAAACTCTGGAATGCCCTGGCATCGGCGTGGCTACGGTGTTGTGCCAAAATGCTTCTACAACCGCCGCGCCGCGCCGCGCCGCAATGTGGTGAGCCTCCCATCATCGTTCGGCATCCTCACTATCCTGAACACCAGCGTACTTTGCTCCGTTTCCCTAGGCTGGATGCTGCTTCGAGACGCGATGAAGTCGACTGTGAATACACGTATGGTGTCCACCACGGAACAGTTTTGTCAGCCTGTCAGATCATTACAGGTAATGCTTCGACCGCGTACCTGAGTCGTGATCACCGTGGAAAGATGCCTGTGAGGCTTAGCTACGATGGCATATTGACGTATGGACAATATTTCCTTCATGTTCCCCAAGGTGAATCATCCGCTACTGATACGCATTCTCTCAGCTTACCTCTTTCAAGGATAGATGACCTCCACCCGTTCGCTGTTATTTGTGACTTTGAGAATTGGCAGTTTCCGCACGACGGTATACCCGAGGCATGGACGAGTTTCAAAAGCGCACCAGTAGTGGCAGCATCTCCGACTTTCAACTGCGCTCTGTCTGGCGGTTTGTCAACAGAGCCAGCTTATCTGGTACCCCACAATCAATCTTCATGGTTTCATCAAAACCGGATGGGCGATTATATTGCGAACCGTGGCGAAGATTTCGGGCCAGGCAATGCTTCGAATATTTGCTACCTTCATAAGGACCTTTTGAAAGATTTCAATTGCCGAGCCTTTGCTCTAGTGCCGAAAATGTCACGCCACGGCTACCGACTGGTTGCACATTACCTTTCAACTTCGGACGATCTCTTGTACCCTGCGAACGTCTTTCACAATCAGGAGGCTTACCAGCTCGAGAGGTACACGGTCGAATACTTATATGCTCGCTTTGCTTATACAATTTTTGGTCTCATTCGAACCTTCACGGAGCAGAAAAGACGAGTGGCAGTTATTGAGCCTGGAAGGAATGAGTTCAGATTGTGCACTTGGGTCACCAAAGTATACTGGATGAGCCCGGAGCAGGTTGCGGCTCGACGGACGCAGCTCGCTTGAGGTGTGTCAACACGTGACAAGCTGGTTCAATTTGGCTTTTAGTTCACAACACGAACTAGACCGAATTTAGACGTTTTCCAACCTTGCATTACCTTCGCCACACCTCACTGGCCAAAACTTCTCTGGGCTTAACCACCAAAACAAGCAATCGGTGATAGCTATAACCTCATGGAAGGACTTCAAAGAAACGAATGCGTTTGAAGCAGAAGGAAGCGGTACAGTAGCGATTCGCGAGCCGTCCCACACGGAGTGCCACTACTGGAATCAAGAATCTTGCAAGGGCTCCAGCTTTATTTCAACCGAACTACAATGTTTCTACAGATGCATTGACTTGTACGAACTACATGGTCCTTGTCTTCTGTCGTTTGTAAACCTTGTCAATGCCCTTGCCTTTCGGCTTGCGTTTCCTGTGCTTGCCCTCCATCGGCAGAATAACCAAGGCACCATCCCTCCATGCTGATTGTAGGATGCGGAGAGCTTCCACCCTCAGCTCAACCGGGTCGTAACGATGCAAGGCTCCGCTTACCGGTCGACCCATCATTCTATCACGAGCATTCTTGATTACCAACAGCGCGCAGCTATGCGTATCGTACTGACGCATGACTTCCTGTTCGTTGCCTATTAGCTATGTCACCGTATCAAGGTGAAGCACTTACCTCCTCGATATATTGAAACTCGGGAAACTCTTTATTACAAGCTACCTACATTCGGTGAGCTCCTTTTGTCAAAAGCGATGGTGGGTACTCACTTTAATATCAGAGTTTACTCCAATGCTGCTAGAGTCATAATGATAAATTCGTCTGGTCTGCTCATCGATCTCCAGGAGACTAAAATGATTCCCATGTTGGAAGAGTGGGAATAGCCACACGAGAGCATTGGTTTCTGACCGGCTGTCGGTCTCGTGTTCTTTCGAGATATGCATTGCAAGTCTCTCAAACGGGCGCGGCAGTAAACAGTGAGCTCGAGTCGTAGTCTCCCGATGAATGGGGACCGAGAACCCTATGCGAACGCAAGGAAGCTTTGCCGAGAGGTGCAAACAGGCGAGCACAATGTCATCGTTCAGCCATGTTGTGGAACCAAGCCTCTGCAATGATATTATGTCGAATCGAAATTCAGATTGTGGAATGAGAAGGCTATCAGACATGCCTGAACCTCGAACTTCCTTGGAGAAGGCGTCGACATCATCATTACCCGTAGCAAAGGTAGTCAACGTTGTGCTAGGGTCAGGGTACCCCTTTCCCATCAGCTGGTTCCGGAACTTGTCAGGCTCCGTCCTGCCCGTATTCAGGAGTAACACCATCTGTTCCTTTAGGAGTTCCAGCACGTCCATCTTTTGTGTCTGATGGGTGCACTCTATGATCAGAATGTCTAGCTCTGTCTCCTTAGACTTCACCAGCCCCCTAACAAAGGTCAGCGCAATAACCTCTACTCGTCAAAGAGAACAACATACCATGCATCCTTGAATAAGATACCGTAGCCGAATGCACCTAGCAATCGAAGCCACTTCTTACCACGTGTGCAATACGTCGAAAGCTTTTGGCGGTGTCGTCTCCACTGGTCCTGACTGGCCCCAGGCTGTTCGGGCTTTTGGCCAAGAACCCTTTCGTACACTGCATTTATGGCAAGTTGCGTGTCCATGCTCGCGGCGCGCTCAAGCCATCTCACTTGAGATTGATGCCATTGAGCAAACCCACAAGCCGTCAACGCAAAGCGGATACTTCCCATGCACCGGTCGTTGTCTCCTGCTTCGACCACGGCCACCCACTGGGATCCGTCAGACCACTCGTTCTCCTCATTAGTCTGGGTTTGTAAAGCATCAAAGAGGTCTTTGTATGTGTCCTGGGAGTTGCCAGACAGGCTTAGCCGTTGGACCTGCTCATAACTTTCGTGGATGAAATCGGCAACTGATTGATCCAGTAAGAAGTGTCGTACTTTGTCGGTTGATCTCGGGGAGACCGCCTTTCCAAACGATCTCGCTGTGCTATCAGGTTCTTCGGAGACAACCTCTTCCGGGCTGGTTTCATCAGTGGCGATGCTAGACCTACTGCCAGAAGGACTTGGGTTCTGGCTCTCAGTAGCGATAACAGCTCGAGGGCGCTCTATCAGTGTTGTGTTCGTGATAGGCTCACAATAACCGCCGGTACTGTTGTTTTTGGCCTGCGTGGCAAGTCGCTCGAGCTCTTCCCCCCTTCCGCAGCGCGCGGAACTTCCACTTTCGGCCACAAGAGAAGATCCCAGATGTGAATGGGGAGTAAAGGCTTCAACATCGTCGTCATTATCGTTCTGGTGACTCGCCTTATGAATTTGAGTGATCTTGTGGGCAAAAGATGTGATCTGGGACTGCTGCAGCTTCGAAAACCGCTTCAGGGCTTGACTCAGGTATTCATCAAGCTCGTGGGCTTCGGGGGCATTTGTGACTCGCAAGACACTGTTGAGAATAGTGTCAATGTCGATAGGGGTACGTAAACGACAGGCCAGGGTCCTGGCCGCAGACTCAAGACGGCGGGGGATGTCTTCTCCGTCTGATAAACATCCATCGTCAGAAGCCTCAGGGGTAAATGGCTCCATGAGCGGGCGCTCCGGACTTTCTCGTGACATGCTCCTCACATTGTTGACTTCTGGGCTTATTGGTTGGTCGCCAGTTCCTCGCCCTGCCGGTGAAGGCTGGTATGGGGATACTGGCGAAAGATTCATTGCGACGAAAACCCTCAGGGCGTAGAGATGATGAAAGGTCAGTAAAATCTTATCTTGCAGTTTGGGGAGGAAGCAAGTATTTATAGTCACGCTTCTGGTTTGATCACGGGGTCATCTCAACCAGAGAGCCAAGGGCGCTCAGTGGCCAAGCAGAGGGAAATCACGGCAATATTGCCTTCTTGTCTTCTGATTCGGCTAGATATCACAGCCCAGTCTCATACAAGGACGCTCCAAGCCAGGTTTGTGCTATGGCATGTGCCGATCACATCACAGCGGGCGCCATCACGGGCTCGACTCGAGCGTGATGGTTGGCTATAGTATCCAACTTGAACGAGGGGGTTACATCATTTGAGGTCAGGGCGTGTGATTGAGGTGCTGGCTCTGAGTACTTAAAGACAGCTCGTCTCCCACTTTCTGTTCTCGCTTCTTCATCCCTTTCCACTCTCTTGACCTCCTGGGACAATCGAATCAACATGGAATCTCGGCATTGGGACCTCTGTTGGCGTTGCCTCAAACGTCTTGACGACGAGCCAAAATGGAGAGCATCAAGCAATCACAAGGTTCGTTTTCCGTTTCCTGTTGCATTTCTCCAGTCTTGATTGACTCAATTCAGCTTTTCTGCGACGATTGTGCAAAACTTAAGTTGCAAGGGATACCAAAGACGAAGCAGATCGCCTGGAAAGAATGTGTGGTATGCTTCGAGGATTTCCCGGATCACTACTACACCTGCTCGACTGTTTACCCAGACACTGGCGGACCTCCTTTTCGCGTGGGCCATGCGTTGTGCTCGCGGTGTGCCTACGGCTCACGACAGAGGCGGCTGAACCTGAAGCGAGGGTTCATCGATAAATGCCCACTGTGCAGAAAAAAACCGAGAAATCCGGTCAGAGTCGTGGCCTGTACGATTATCAAGGTTCCTGAGGATGAGGCAGCAGTGCCTGTGGACGTACCAGCCCAACCCTCGCTTGTGGATGAGCCAGCCCAGCCTGTACTTGTGCTAGGTGTGAGGCTGGGGAGATCAGTGAACCACAGGCAAGTCAGGGTCCGATGGGAGGATACGTGGGAGAGGTATGACTTGATGGGCGCCGATAAACGTATGCAAGTCAAGAGCATCATTGGGGAGACACCAGATTCTATCAAAATTTGCTGGAAAGATACCTGGGAGCTGCTTGAGGATTTGGAGGATGGCCCCCTGAAGGAGGAGGCAAAGAGGCTCCTGGAGGACAAGTATAGTGTGTAATGATATCGAAAGAGGTTATTTCATTGACTTTCGTGTTTAGAATGTTCGAGTCGCCCTAAGCGAGGATACCTCTCCCTTATCGAATTTCATTCAGCAGTTATCTTACCTCCGTGGTGGTGGTGGTGAGGGAGACATTCACATGCCTACCCGTAACCGCAGACTCACAGTGTTCATGAGGAACACCATTGGTGGACCACGAGTGTTGGCCTGATTGTGGGCGATGTGCGTGGTCTAGGCCTGTCATCCTCTGGGTGCTTAAGGTAGGGCATCTCCCACCTCTTCTTCTTCTTCTCGCATTTCTTCCACATCTCTTACATCACTTCCTGGTGATCTGAGACGACCAGCACAAGATGACGACCCTGAACATGCGATTGAAATAAGTCTGGAGGTGCGCACCTTGTCGTACTGTCTTCGCTCATCTTTTGACCGACTCTAGCTCCTCTGTCATCCCTGCGCCAGCCGATCCGCCGACCCGAAAGTGAAGCAGTACGCCTGGGACGAGCGTGTCATTTGTTGGGAAGCCGTTCCGGACGTGTAAATTAACTGCGCAGATGGAATAGCTCACGTCGTGTGCTTGAGATGTCTGAAAGTGATGGCGACGGGTTTAGGTTTGCTGAGATCCTCGACGACGATGAGCCTAGCGACCCCATGGTTCTTGAAGTGCCCCCTCCCCCGTTGCAAAGTTCGACGGTCCGTGTGGAACAGCTCTGTAGATCGACCTACAAGGTATTTCTTGTCGCATTGTAAGTTTCTGATCCTACATTGTTTGCATGGCTCGCCTTCGTCGCACTAAGAAGCATCAGTCTGATCTGCCCAGCATCGAACCGTACGACTCTTACCTTTCGCTTTATTCGTCGACATGTAGAGCAGGCCTTTTTGGCTCTTTATCTTCCCATTGTGTTCAACTAGACTTAGAGAAATGCGAATCACTGAATGAGTGAGTGGAGGCGCCGCCAAGTTATATAAAGACAATTGCACCACCCAGTGCTATCTACAGCCTCCACCCAATGGTGTGCTGCCATTGTTACATGAAGATATAAACAACTGCCCCATGTGAGCTACATTCGACAGCTGATCTTGTTCTACTGCAACAGGATGTGTTAGGCAAAGAATGGGATAGCACAAGCCCAGCTACCCCTGACAGGCCGGTAAGTGACATGGGAGGGGTGCGTAAAATGATTCGGGTTGTCGATTGAAGGCAAACAACGCTAATGAAAGGCGAACTATTTCAGTGTAAGTGTTTTGGTCCCTATAGTATATAACATCAGGTATGACTGAGCCAGGCGCCAGAGAACCTACGGGGGTGTGTTTGAGGCACTAACCCCCGCGATCAGTGTTATGGACTTGTCTTCATGATTCTCTGGCGCAGACTCGTTCATAGTGAAAAGCCCCGTTAATTATATTAGCAGTCGATAACTCCTTCGATAATGCCATATTTGAGGCGCAACTGTATATCCCATTCGAGATCGTGGCAACCAAAGGTACGACCCCCTAATTCGTCTTCCTTCTCTTCGAGCCTCTTTGACTAACGGTTTCTCAGGATCTAGCGCTCAACGAATTGAGCAGGGCAGTGAACGAGAGAAACACTTGCCACAGCACGCTCGAGAGGAATACACTGATGCAGTTTTGCAAGATGAGAATCTTGATGATGATCACCGACGATGCGTCCAGATCTCTTGTAAGAACTGTTGGTCAAAGCTCGATGAGTATTACAGCCTACTAGGCCAATCGCCACTTTATCCGGCTGCCGTTATTCTTCACCCACGCTGGAACGTGTCTTGGCTTGAGGCGAACTGGACCAGCGACGAGCAACTAGTGTGGCTACGAGACGCTAAAAACAATGTCCGGGAATTCTTTGAACAGCACTATCCACGTGAGGAGCAGCCCGAAACCTCGAGGACGGTGATAGGAAAAGCGGTGCGACAAGACGAGCCCAGTCAGCTTGACCAGTGGATGCAGAGCTGCGACCGGTGCATGATGGAGGGAAAAGACGAGCTTGGCACTTACATGAGGCAAGGGCCAGTGCGGTGAGAGAACTTGAATCCCGTCCTGTGGTGGAAGGATCATCAAGAAGAATACCCACGTCTGAGCAAGTTTGCCCTCGACATCCTGGCAATTCCTGCCATGTCTGTTGACCCTGAGCGGATGTTCAGTGTCACTAAGTTAACGGTGAGCTCGCAAAGGCACAGAATAAGCCCCGCGATAATAGAGGAGATGCAGTGTCTACGAAACTGGCTACGCCATCAAGCGATCACTATGGGTGAGGTGGTTAGCTTTGGTGGGGACTTGGTGGGTTGGGAGGAAGGGGAGGCTTAATAGCTTTATTGGAGCCTCAAGTCCAGCACCTTCACTTCAAGTATATCAATTCAATTCAAGTTAAGTAAGTCCATGGACGATTTCATTTCAAGTAATCAAGTTGGGACCCCAAACTTGACTTACTTGAATTGAAGTCGGCGCTGCTAATATGTACAGTGTATTGCCAGCAAATCATACCCAGGCTAGGATAGTAATTTGAGTTTACTGACCCTGAGGTGATGGAACTGCATCTGCATTGGCCACATTCGTCTTGGTGCTGATGGGCCTTCTAGCGCGAGGTTTACCCTCTCCAGATCCATTTTCAGCCTCAGCTTCCTGACGCTGGACTTGATTCGTCTCATTTTGAGACTTCGCCGTCATCTCCCCAAGCCAGGACTCAGTACCCTGGGTTGCTTCTTCACGATCGGCATCTACCCCACGCCTCTCGGCGGCAGTGACCTTCCTCTCTTCTTCTCCTAGTCCACCCTTCTCTCTCATGCTAAGCCACATGAATGCTGAAAGCGCAATGCAGAGCCCCAGTAAGGCGGTCAGTTGCGTTGCCATCAAAGCCCCTCTCCAGCGTACATTGTTGGCCGCGTACCAACACGTAATTCCAATGAGAAACTCGACAATTGCTACGTCCATTAACGTTAATGGTATCCAAGCCACTGCAAGCTCTAGTCGACTCGCTTTCTCTAATCCTTCGAATTGAAAGAGTAGCATGCCCGCGATAAGCGCAGATATGACAGCCGTGATGGCCGAGCTGCAGAGGAAGCCCTCAGCGGTATGATTTAGGCTAGCATCGTCTTCACCACGCGAGCGAAATTCCTGGTAAGACAAGGCACCAATGTCAAGCCCACTGACAAGAGCGGCAAGGACAATGAAGGTCTGGTTGAATCGTCGTAGGCGTTGGAAAACCAGAAAAGCCCGAATATCGAGCTGCTTGCGCCACCATCGCAGCATGATTATGGTTTATCGGCTAAGGTGGGTTTCGTCTCTGTAGGTATTGAGCGTCGCAGAGGAAAAATTGGATTCGGATATGGCGAATATGACTGTAACGAGACGTCCGAATGGCCTATCAATTGCAAGGTATGGCAACATGTATGACGAGAGTATGTGGTAGTTCGGACAAAATGCGTGCCTCTCCCAGCCAGAAGATGGAGTGGGCAAGTTGGAGCTTCGTTGAGAAATGCCTTGGCAGCTCTGGTGTTTGAAGAAGTGGGGGTTGCCAGGTAGCCATACAATATGCCGCAGCCAACACCGCAGCCAATACCCTTTGACTACACTTACGATCATGTGTACAAAAGTAGGCTGCAAGTACTTTTTTTCATTGAAAGAACACCGCTTTGAGCTTTGGCATACGAATTTACGTACTCAGCCAGTTTTTAATGCACATAATCATAGCGTAGAAGGTGGTCAAAGAGAGGGGAGAAAAAAGGGTTCGAATACCTAGGTACGCGCGGGTTAGGGTTATATGGGGGTGCGCATGTAAGGAAGTTATATAAGCTTACTAAGGATTGAGAGCCAATAACTAATTATTCGCACCGCCGGTGGCGCACCAATAGTATTGGCTCCCTCTTCAAGCTATTAGCTTAGTCTTCAATCATGCTCAGAAGCCTCTCCGCACGAGCCACAGCGACGTTTGAGTCGCATGATATCCATTTCTTGAAAGGCTCTCCTTTTGATGGACCTCGACTATATTGGCCACACAAACATATTCCGAGTTTCCCAGCTTCCGATTGCCATGGGGCCTTCGCTGCATAGGGTGATGGGTGCCTAGGTATGCGAATGTCACATTCAACCCTGACGACAGGTTGGTCCGTCAAGCCCAAAGAACCTCCCAGGGTACTAGAGATAAGAATCTTCTCCTTGCAGAGAATAAAGTGAAAGTTATTGGATCGACGATCTTTGTATGTACGAACAGAGCATCCAGCCTGCGCGTCTGCGATGCTCTTCGCTAGGTTCCTCGCTACTTTTGTTCGAGCACCTTTAAGAGCTCGCTCTCGAGATTTAGTATGGTCAACCGTGCCGACAATGGAAAAGTCCAGTGGGTTCGCGTTGTTCAACCCCCACTCGCGATGTTGAGCCAGATAGCGCGGCCTCAGACGCAGAAAAGACTGGCTTTTCCAGGATGCGAAAAATATACTCATAAGGGCCTCCGATATGTGAACAAGAGGAATTTCCACAGCTCTCGAGAAGCGAACTAGGACGACAAAGTTCAGGCGTGCGTCTACTTTTGTCATTTCGTTGCAGTGAAGCATCCCGCTCTGTGGATGAAGTTTGGTCGACTTTGCATACGTCAAATGCTCTCGAATCCGGCGTCTTAAACCCCCAAATCTGCGACCCGAACCAACAGATCCTGCAGCTCCTACATAAACCTTGAAATAATTCGGATCATTGTTCGTGATAATGTCCGCATACACACCCTGGCTTTCGTCACCGATGTTCCCACCCAGTGAGAGAAGTCTGAATCTTGATTAGATACGCACACTGAAAGTGAACAAAGTCTCTACCTTGGCCCAGTAAACTCTTCGGTTGATAGAATTAGACAAGCAACCTCGGTACGAATGGCACTCGTTATTGTCGATGCAATAAATTCTGCTTCGTTGACTCGAAAGTATAAACGTACACTTGGTGTTGTTCGGATTTTCCGAGAGAGAGAGAGCCGCTGTAAAGCTTTTGTAATAATTAATACCTCAGGGTAAAGTTCACGGTGCTGGTCGGATTTGAAACCGTTGAATTCGACATCTGCGTGATCCTCGTTGTACGGTATTTTTGATGGGGTAGAAACATTTTGACGAGTGTCGGTCATCAATGGTGAAGTAACAAAACGGTTTCCACTCCAAGTGACGGAGTTTAGAACCTTTCCCTCCTTTGCGTTGATGCTTTGAAGATCTGACGGGCCGCGCAGGAAGTCAACAAGGGCTTCTGCTTTGCGAATAGCTGCTTTTTTGGGAGACTGGACCCAGTGAGTGAAAGCTGTGCCTTTCTGACTGCCTACTGCATGAGTTCCGGATATTGCAATGCCTAGATGGCGAGCATTGCTGTCGTACGCCGCACTGCTCGCAAATGGAAAGCGATGATTTCTGGCGCTCAACTCCAAATTCACGTCCACAGTGCGAGATAGTTGAAGTCCATAGCGAAGGCCAACTTGCAGTGGCAAAACAATGTCAACATGTGCTCCATCCTGGCGCGTCATCAGCGTGATGTGAAATCGCACTACATGTCCATTTTGGTTGAGAACATAAACTCGGAAAGCTCCGCCATTTCGAAGTCGATCTTGGCGTCGACGCATCGCAGTCATGGAACATTGATTCCCAATTGTTGCCCGTGTTTGGCGAAGGACAGCTGACTCTTCGGGATCCATTGTATCCAAGCCCTTGAAATATGTTTTCAGCCCGTTAAGGCGGAGAGGGCTGATTTCGTTGAGGCCCCAGTTCAAAGGCACTGGCACTAAAGGCTTAGGCCTGCAGACAACATAGCCGTTTCTCGGGCAGGAACCAAAAAGTATGGCCATAATTGCTTGTGTGACTATGACCATCTCCTTATCCACGGGAGCCATGAAGGTAGCCAAAGCGGCCCAATTCGACTTCCATCCTGGCGTATGGACCGCTTGGTAGTAAGGGATCCCTGATTGCTTTTTACTCTTCTTCTCGAGTTCGAGTCTTTGAGCTCGTCCTCGCATGCCGGCGGACCGTGAGTTATACGGCCCAGCAGCCGCAACAATATATATTTTTTTAGCTGATTGGTCTGCATCATTCGTCAGGATATCCGCGAAGACCCCTTGAGTGGTCGCCTCGAGAGGCCCGATCAGGCTCGTAACGCTATAGCACGTAAGCCAACTTGCTTCTAACCCTTTTTTCGGCGGCGTTGGATGCACAGGCTCACCAGCTGTTAAGCGTTTCATGGCATGATAATACACGTTTCACAGCGGGATTAGTCGCCAAGACAACACCTTGTACGATCTCATGGCGCGGCTGTCGTAAGAGAAAATCTCCAATTGTAGGATGTACCTCCAATCTCACTCCTGAGGACACGTGCTCAATGATGTTATCCACGCATTCCGCGACGAGATCGGCAAAATGAATTTCTTCCATTGTCCTGAGATTGAGTCGAGCTTGACAAGGTCTTCCTATTCTTGAGGGATTGATGACGCTAATGATTTAGAACAGGTAGCTTACTGACTATTTATCAATCACAATCAATAACGTCATTTGATCACCCGAGCATTCCAGCGATCGTGGTCTTTGTTGAACATTGGGCGATGAGCCATACAAAGAGCCACGCAACCCCACAGGAACAGTGGTAAACGCCAGTGGCTGAAAAGTTACGTCGCTCTCATAAGCCGATTCATCGTACCGCTACTTTTTAGAGTTTGCAGTCGCGTCGAACCTTACGCCATTGATTCGAGCGAAGAGGGTTTGAGATGCCACTAGCCGTTATGATTTAGGCTTTCATATATTATAGAATAATTCCATTAGCCTATTAAATTGTAATAGCATCAATGGCTGAAACTTCTCGCTCACGATTAGCCGGGAGATGCTTGAATGCTTGGAGGATGGCTTCTTGAAAGAGCAAGCGAAGATGTTGTTTGAAGATAAGTATAGTGTGTGAGAATAGATTGAGTTGAAGCAATCCGAGTCTCTGACGTTCCATGGGACGGCCTAGAGATGAACCTGTGGTTTTCAGCGTTGTGCAAGATTTGCAGGCTTTGAATGTAGGCTATAGGAAGTCAGGGTCCGCTGGGAGGATGCTTGAGAGGCTCTGGATGTCGAGATATGGATGCAAGTCAACAGAATCATCGGAGGGCGACCGGATCTTATCAATGTTCACTGGAGAGATGCATGGAACCCCTCGAGCTGACAATGGCCCCTTCAAAGAGAAGGCAGAGAGGTTACTGGAGAACAGTATGGTTTATCATAATAGAAATGCAGCAGCTAAAGGATATGACTTGATGGAAAGAAGCTTAGGTTCCTTCTGCTAGCGTGGGCATTCGTGTAGCAGTATCTGCTGGAATACCCTGTAGGAGACTCCACGGAATACATATCAACTTTCCTACAGACCCTCATCTCCGAGGCAGCTCTTGTTTTCCACTTGGTCTTGAAAGTAGCAGCGCCAGAATCGGTGATGCACAATCACAACCGGTTAAGATACCACAAAAACTATGTGGGAGGGGCCGAAGTTACCACTGGTTGCGCTCCGCAAAAACCACATCGATGACCTTCTGGCTTGCCTCCGCACAGCTTACAAGGCTCTGCCATCGTACGAGTAAAGCGAGTCGTCCTGAAGTCGTGTCAGTCAATATCCAATGTTTTCATTCTGTGAAGTATTTCCACCTTTTTCCGCTTTACTTCTTTCTATTATCCTTCGTTGGCTGCTTTGGTTGATGCTGTCCTTGTTCTTAAAAATCACTTCACGATGGCACGTCTGGAGGTGATGTAGGAGGATAAATAACGTCGGGCAGCAGCGGCCTTGCCAGTAAGTGACGCCACTATTTCTAACCCCTTGGTGGCTTACCCACCCCTCTACATTTCCGTGAGGTCATAGAAGGGGCAAAAAAAAAAAAAAAAGTTCACGTAATCCACATGTGCGTGCACCAAAATCTATTCCTTAGGAGTTTATCATCAAATAAATTCTCATTAAACCTTGGCATTGGAATATTAAAACTTGTGAGCAAAAAACCTTTCATAAAACCATCAATGAATTTTTTAATTTGCTTTGTTGTTTCAAAAAATATTATCACTTTTATAACCAAAACAAAATTTAAAGGACGCTGGAGAAATACTAAAATAAAATTTTTTGAGTTGAATAACTAAAAGAGAAAAAATACTCTTTCCTCTGATTTTGAGCCTTTATGGCGTATTTTAGAAAGTTTAGTCTTTTCTTTTGAGGCATGTAGTATAAGTGATGCACGCACTTGTGCAGGTCATACCTGTTGGTTAGGATCACGGTAAGTCAAGATATCTATTTTATTAGGCTGAAGTGCCTCTTAATTCTGACGAGCTTACCTGTAATACTTACCCTCAGACTAAAATGACGTTATGCCGTCGACCAAATAATTGACATGAACATCTTGTTGTCGACCCGTAATGTTTCAGGGGAATTGGCTGTCTAAGCGATTCCCGCTTTCGTTCTGTCGCGGATAAACATCGGGGGGGGGGGGGGGGTTTCAACAGGCTACCTACCTGGCCCGGTTGCTAGACTAGTTCTAAAACTTAACCTCAGCATAAAACAAAGGAACACAAAATCTTACCCTGACGTGGTGCAGCCGACAATATGGACCATATATGCCATACCTGTGCTGAAGTATTCCGTACAAATAGAGATCTTCATGCACATATCATTGAACACAAAGTAGGTCAGTTGAATCATCAGAGACTCGCTGTTGACAAACCCACAGCTCGCCTTAACAGATGCGCTTCGACGATGTATCTTGTTGAACAATGATATGCCCCCGGGGTTGTTAGACGTCTTACGCTGTCTTTCGCACTCTATCGGAATTCATACTTGTCCAAATGACGGTTGCAATTTCGAGTCTCCCTCTTATAAAGCCTTGGAACAGCATTGGAGGACACGTAAGCGTGACGAATCCGCTAAATAGCCATGACTTAAGATTATGCAGATGTCCCGTGCAAGGTGAGATGTGGATTTTGCCGGAAGGTTGCAAACCGTGTCTCCCACGCACTCAACCATCACAAGGATTGCGATCAACGCCCGAACACTAAGATTGCGCAAAACGAGAGCTCAACCAGGAGCAAACTAAGTCAATATTCTTCACAAGCCCTGACGGAGGCCTTACCTCTTTTGGCCAGGCCAGTCAAAAAGAGGCGGATAACGAAGAGAAAACGAAACCCTTCAAATAGGAAAGGAACTCGAGACGTAGGCTTCGAAGCTGAACTGGACATTGCCCGGGAACCAGTCGACTCGGACGACGAAGTGGACTATGCGAACGATATCATAACGATTCCTAGTTCCTCTACACCTCTACAAGAGCGTGCGGGCGAACGGGTCTCGCCGGGTGCGGAGCGAAACAATCGACTGATTGACGAATATGTTCTTGCTTTGACTCCAGTCCAGACTGGCGTGCTTGGCACATTTCCACCACCACCTGTCTCGCATATATCGGACTTCCAAGCACCTGGTCTTTATGATCGACCTTGCGATGGAGTTGGCACGTTTTCGACATTGCCTGTTTCTCATCTGGACCTCCAGGCACCTCGTCTTCCTGACCAGCCTTACGGTTTTGCTGCAACGTTTCCATCATTATCTGCCTTGCACTCGTTTCAACTGAATCACCATAATAATGAAATGGGGCAAAGTAACCTGAGTAATTCATGTATACTTCCAGCAGCGGCAGAGTTGATATAATGGTCCTACCGCGACACTTCGTGTACGATTGATAAGAACGAGACATGCAATACAGCATTACTTACGTCCCATGTCAACCGGGCTATCCATATTGTTCGAGATTAACGTCTCTCACGAAACTATAACTTTGCCCTATACCCATCTATAGTTGATTTTATATCCTCGTTGTTCCAACCGTTCAACCGTCTCAACAAATGCCTTAGAGTGAGTGAATGGGATCTTTGTTATGTGCCGAGAGGTCTCTTCAGACACATATCCAACGCATATAATAAACCCTTCTGCAACAGTAAACCGCTGCCGGCTGTCTGTGATGATGCTATTACGTGTTAAGATATTGTAAAAAATAAAAATAAAATAAATTGAATTAGGAATAGTAACTTACAATCCGCCCTCTTCGAGTGTAATCTGTCGCTCTGGCATATCTAGATTCTCTAAACACGAATCATGCACTGCGATCAAACCCCATTCTTTCGACACCTTCTTGTCGATATCTTCCTCTTCAAACGTATGTAAATGCGATCTTTCGCGAAGGACAACAGTTGAGCCTGGGCTGCATAGTTGGAAAACAAGCGACCGTAACGTAGGTCCCGAATGGAAAGAGAAAGTATAACCACGAGGAAGAATGTTTCTGTAGCCCTTGTTAAATGTCCAGTAAGGCTGGCCGAGTATTTGTTCAGCGATGGTGCGAAGTTCCTGACATCATTTAGCGATGATCGTGGAAGTCATATGTGAACTAACGCGGTTATCTAAGCTGTTCTGCGCGAGAAACTCAAAACCATATGGCGTCAAGATGGGTAGGCCAGCTTCATAGAACTGAACAAGCCTTCTCCCTACCTCGCTTTGATGGCAAACATAGTTTCCATTATTTCGTATCGATACCAGCGCATCTTCGACTAAGATGTCCATTGTTCCGAAGTTCTGTTGCGGGTAGCATGATGTAAGATGACGAAATAAGGAGGGGTCAAAGTTCTGTATCAAAGAGTGCCGCTTAAGCGCTTATGCAAGACGAGTTATGATGCTACCGGGAAAATGGCGAAGCCGAGCTGCTTCCATTTTACAGACAAAGTGGAGCTATTTCCATCTCACAGACAGAGTGGGACTGCTTCCAACTTATGGACAGAGTGGGGCCGCTTCTATCCGGAGTCGGCTACATAGAGTTTTGTTAGAGGCGTGCTGTACAAGATAGCGATTCAATATCACAGAAGTTACAACGTTGCACGTATCTAAAAATCTTTTTGTCCAAATGTTTACGTCTTAGTTAAAGCAGAACTGCGTAAATAATTGATACGACTTATTTTGAGAGTCTAACACACACATAAGATCAACCATCGGATGCAGGCGTGTTATACAACTACAATATTCACGAGATGGGAGTTCGAAGATGAACTTCTGTTGTGTAGCAATTTGAGCGCATACACAGATGCCAATACACCAATGTGCTAGCAGCCTGCTGTATAAGTCAAATCATCAAACAAGTTCTAAATATCAAAGTATAGTAGATATTGAAGCTTAGTACAAGTGGGTTAGCATTGACCTAATGTCAACAAACTGTTAGCAAATGCTAGACTAGATTATGCCAAGGAGCAACACTGGTATCTTCAACCATTTGAGAACCATTTGAGGCCTGAAGTTACTTCCTTACAACTATATTCATGTGCAAAGCTCTATAGACTAACACCTCACCTCGGAACACCCTTGGCTACTTTTTCAAGTGCATGGTTGAAGCTTCCCGCAGGTCTGAATTGGTTATTCATTATTGTCGGTGAATGCAGGTGAAACTAGCCTTCGAGGCCTGTAATGCGGCCCATGGTGTTGGTGGCTGAGAGAATGCAGACTTTGTTCTCAACTACCTGTAAGAACCAATATAAATAGCCAACTCCTGAATGGTATACTTCTGTCAACCCTGAGAAACACTCAAAACTTTACAGCCGAATTGCAACTATGCCTGCAGATACCAGTAACAAGGACAACTCTGGAAAGCCAGAGGAAGGTAAGATTCATCGCCTTCAGTACTTCATCAAGTTTTAACTCTTCAACATAAGGGGGCCAACCAACAAAGCCCATTGAGCCTGTCAAACCTACCGAGGCTGATGAGCCCTCCGGGTCTGCAGAGGATGTCGAACCCGTCGCTTTCGAGGACCTGATAACCGCCGATGATATATACAGAGCAAAAGTGAGGCCATGAGAAAAGTTCATTTGGGCTATAGAGATCTGTTTTCAGGAAGCTATCAGAGGTTAATCTAAAGACGTCGCCATTGAGATGAAGAAAACACTTTCGGTTGTCGATAAAACTGTGCCTTGTTCAAGTAAAAGCCCACGGTTGACCCTCCAAGCAATCCTGTGTCTAAACTGTGAACTGCTAAGCTCAGAGCTGCTTAGTGATACAAACAGGGGCTCTTTTGGTGATGTAGTAGGTATAATAACCTGCAATTTTGACATCTTGACTTTGAGCTCGCCACGATGTTGGACATAAACTTTCTGCCTGAAGACATCTTCTCGACATAAGATGCCTGCTTGCGCCTTTTTACTTAGCATGTTTCTCCTCATGTAGACCAGCACACTTACCAAGTCATCAATGGCTTGGTTAGCCACAGGCAGATGATATTCGTCGGACCAGCTATACTGCTTAATACGAGTGCCATTTTTCTCTATTCGATTGCAGACGCTTTGCTCCTTTTCGGCTCGTGAAGCTTGTCGCCGGAGTTCATGTGAGATATCAAATGTGGTATAGCCAGTGATCGAAACATAGAGAATACCACGGTACAACTTATCGAGATGCACGGCGCTGCTCGAGTCAGACTCGTCCTTGTGGTTGGGCGCTAACAACTCTTGTGATGGCTGTGACGTGGTCGTTTCAGTTTGGCAATGTGGCGTGCGGAAGTCACCTAGAGTGCTGAGGAGACAAGACACGTACTGCCGATCTCTACATGTCCTTTGGAATGTGTCCCAATCGTATGAGGTCAGGGCTTTAGTCTTGAGAGTCTTCTGAATTTGATTCAGGGTGTACTGGGGTCGCAAGAGCTTCACTAAAAAAGGAATATAGAATGGAACGGAAGCCTGTATCTCTTTCTTGGGCTCGAGAATAGTTCCTGAGAACTCAGAAAATGTTTCTTCAAAACTGTTGGAAGTCCACAGACGGAGACTTGACGGAGGAACGTCTAGGAGATGATTAATTCCGTAAATCTAAGAAACGGAGTGAACACCAACTCCAAATCACCAGCAGCTCGAAAGCACGGTGTTCCAGGCCGGCATAGAGACGGTCGAGTAGTTGGATGAAGCCGAGCACTGCAGCCCTATCTCTGCGGCGTGTGCTATAACCGAGACGGTAGGCGTAGACTCTTCCGAGCTCCAACGCGTCCTCGTCATGTCCAATAGACAAATCAACTATCGTTGCTGCAATAATGACCAACTTCTCCCAAGGGTCTAGCTCGTGACGATCCAACTGCTCAAACCTTGCTATCTTGTTGAGAATGTTCTCCAGAGTGTCCAAGCCATGCGCCGACCTACAACTTTGCCATTGTTCCTCGGTCTGCGGTACTGAGCAGGGAAGGCGCTCTCGCCTTGTGATTGGTCGTGCGGGATCCTGGAGCACGACACGAAGACTACCTTGGCTAGAGGAATGATGAGCGTCTGGCACTTGAGGATGCATCAAAGCGACAATTGTATTGACAATGAGAGAGTCAGGTTCATGCCAAAAGCAACGTGCGTGAAGCCGTGTCATACGGGACTGCGGACATTGTCTAGCCGAGGGTGCTAGGACCAATTTGGAAGTTTATCGCATCGAATACAGACTAGCAGGCTGATGCTAATAGAGCTGTGTGTGGATCTCCAGGGGCCACTACTAGGGAGAGTTACCAGGAGGGGGCGTGTTTGTGGATTGGTGTAGGCCGAACATACGGCCAGGAGCGACTTGTGGTACTTTCAAGTTTATTGGCGTCGCCTGGGCAGCATATTTTTTGGTGCAGTATCAGCGGAAAGTTTAGGTTCAAGTCAACGATCCATGTCTGTTATCACTGCAGGATTATGAGGCAAGGGTTCGTGTTATGAAGAGCAAACGCATCCTCCACTACCATGAAGGAACTACTTAAAAGGGACGTGCAGCCCGGTAAGGCAACTACTGGTAGGCCTCACTCAACACTGGTTCGCCAAGCAACATCACTTTAACAGTTCAAGCCTGTCTTCTAGCTACCTTACTTCATGTGTAGCTCTCATCAGGGCCGCGGTGCATACGATTCCAAGACCTAGGCCGAGTTGAAAATGCCATTCTCAAAGGGTGTTACCATTGCCATAGCGATATGCGTGCCAACCGCCTTAATTGCTACTTTTGGCATTATCCTCACGGCCTATATTCACAAGGTTCGTGGTAAAAGAACCTCAGAGTTGGACGAGGCACCTATCCGCATGGACGAGGCACCCATCCACATGGAAGCGGATGACTTCCACCCTGGCATTGGTGTCACTGGACAAGAGCACGTAATCCATGGTTGGATCAGACAGAAAGGCCACTGCGAGGGCCGTAGCATCGACAAAAACGGAAACTTTTTTGAGACCATATACAACCCATCCCCTGATGATGATCGAGTCCACGCCAACATATTCCTTAACACGAGGCCTAACAAATCAAACTGGAATAAAACCAAAAAGCCAAACATAGTGGTGAACACAACATCTAGTTCTGAAGAGCATGAACTCGATCCCTTTAACCACTTACTGGCAATCATTTACAACGAGCGGAATCGAATGAGGAATTCGCGTGGAAGTGAGGAATTGAAAGGAGTACCAGCGGAGGCAGATGTCTGACATGTCTATTTTATAATTCTATCCCTATTTGCCTGTAACACTATGGTTGTACTAAGCATAACAGCCTGTTCCTCTTATACTTTGCTACTCCCCTTAAACTCAGTATGTGATCCATAAAGTAGAGGGCAGTTTGCGTCCATCCGATCAGCAAGCCGTGGTGGGAGAGAAGGACCCAAGGACTTGGCTTGCACGTTATCTCGGCCGTAAAGCTAATCTCCGTGACGGGAGAATCGTCAACGTAGCGATCGTTTCCTCCTAAGAGGAATATCTTGAGCCGTTATGGGACGCGTATTCGGTTTTCATGCCCGATAAGCGAGATCGTCTTGTTCATTCATACAGGGCCAGGTTTTCCCTTGAGATGAGGTGCAATGAATTTTTGGCCTCTCGGCGTCTAGTTTTGAGTGGCAGGGCCTTGGCTTCAAGGAACGATCGGCCTGGAACTAGAGGCGCCACTCGCACGATGCCTGAAGAGCACCAACTCTCTTAGTGCTTGTTTATCACATTAGTGATTGTCTCGAGAGGAGTCTCGATATACGCAAACGGGCTTGGGAAGTTTCTTTGGAAGCTCCTCACCAGGCCTGGAGATGGTACGCTCAAGGATTTGCACTTTCATCCTCATCTGTTCCGTCAAGTATGGTTAAGCGCTAGAATCCCGGACACTGGTGGACAGCAGCGCTGTGAAATTACGGTCAGAGTCTCCGCTGTGCCTCGCGGCAAGTCACGTCAGATCCTTGCATCTGTATGCATTGGATGGGTCGGTGTGTTTGGATGCGAACCTCAATCGGCAGCGGGTACACGATGGGTTTAGGCTAGCTATAGGTATGAACCAGAGATCCCTTCTCCACTCGGGTTTTTGGTTTCCATACATTATATTGTCACGAAAACGGCCACGCTGTCCCCGCCTTGCAATGACATTTGCATCATGACCAGAACAGTCTTGGATAAACTGAGGATGATCATCACTGGGGGCATCCACGTAATCTAGACATACTGATGGCAGAGTTTCGCCGTTGGTTGACTCAAGGACGCGGGTTTTTCCGCTATTCTCAATGATAAATACATTTGTCAGGTTGATATTGCAGCTTATAAGGTGTTCGGGTACTGCCAATGGTATCCCGAAGATGTGACAATGTGGATGGTGCCGCACTCTAGACAACAGCTACAAAGAAGGAGTGGTTATGAGCTTGTGAGAGATAATTATATGTCACCTGAGGCTTCCGTCTGGTTTCCAGGTGAGAGAAGCCGGGTTGTGGGAATACACGATAAGAGACATTCGCTCTACACAGGCTACCGGGCTGAATAATGGATTGAGAACTGGGTTTTCTTAAGCAACTTGGATTCCAATAAATAAACACTAAGATAACTTTGATCGAACTAAAAAAACGGTAGGCTCTACCTTCGCTACCTTGAAAAACACGATGGTATCGAAAGAGAGTCTATCCATCGTAGAGCCCCACGGACCTTTGCGTATTGTCAAACTTGGGCTCAAAATACAAGTTCTGCCTCGTATCCTTCATCCGCATCAACAAAGTCGAACTCACTTCGGTCGCCACGAGAGCTTTGATCGTCCGTGCTGCCAATCAATGTTTCATCAGGCATAGCGCTAGTCGTGGCAGTAGCGGATGGTGATCTAGACCCAGAAGACTGAAGTGAGGTAGCATGCGGACATTCTTGAAACAGCAAGTAATATAGAGCAACTTTGTAGCCAGTGCTCGTAACTGAAGAGTCGTCTAGTATGTAGCGACCACTTTCTGCGAGGAGCATTCCTGTCAGAAGTGCAATCTTGGCCAGAGTGTCACGCGAACATTCAGGAACAGGTATCCTCGCAGCCTGACCTAATAGCAGGAGAACTGTTTTGTCGTCCAAACCGCGCTCAAGTTGGTGACTAATATGAAGTCTCGTAAAGTTGTGACCATTTCGAGTCTTGACTCTCAGCCGTAAGTCCTCAAAGTCTGCTAAGAGGTCATGTCGGCAGGCTCTGTACGGCCGAAAGGTTCCAGCTAGGCGTCTGCGGAGGAGTTTCAGAAAGTTGAACAGTCCGTTTTGCATAAAGGCTTCGTACAAGGCCGTAAAGTCGTATGGAGCCTGAGATGAGCCTCCGTGGAGGGCAACATATAGAATGAGGATTTTGTGATATATTTGAGGGTGACCTGCAATGTACTGTAGTGTATCAACACTAGCAAAAGGTGTATCAGGTTGGGAACTGGTGTAATAGTCCTTGCTTGGCCTATTGGAGGCATCTTTCGACGAAAGGTCCAGGTTGGTAATTTCTCCCTCTAGTTGGCGCATGCCCTCACCTTCTTCCTCTGTTTCTGAATCTCCAGAGTCAGAATGGTAGAAGGTACCCGTCGGGCACAAGTGAGATTCGTCGAGTAGTACAGATACTCTTCGGGGGTAAACTGCGTTCGCTATATCTGTCGCTATTCCGGTCAGATACCATAAGCCAGCTTTATGTCTGGGAATCCGGTCCGTTTGACCAAGGTAGAAGCCAACAACGATAGCAAACTGTTTGTAGGTTATGCTCTGCAGATTGATACAATCAAGGTCGCCTGGAAACAGATGGTGCAGACATGCCAAAACTTCTCGAGGTTCTTTTGGGGACTCTGGCACATGGTCCACGGTTTTAAGCGGTTCGTGAGCATTATTATAGAGTTCGATCATCTCTGTAATGTATACATTGAGTATAATAGGATCGTTTGGTAGAATTTTGGCTTGTCCAAGCTTCTCGAAAATCGCTTGACAAAGGAACAGAAGGAGTTCAAGAAGGGATTGCATTTCGCTCAGATCAATTAGAACGGGAAGCTTCACTTCTGTGTGAAGCCGCTTGTAGAGGCAAACCAGAAATGCAAGCTTGCCTCCATGTCCACCATCATCCATGACTATGCCATCAGCTTGGCCRCCATYRGTGTGAGATCTAATGGGGACCTCGACAATCGTACCACCCATACGAACCATATCAAACTTGCGCTTAACACGAAGCTTGACACAATCTCTTTTCTGAGGTTCCGGTGAAGGATGCTGTATCTTGTCTGAGCTCACATCATCATCTGTTTCACCACCGCTTCTGAAGGGTACAGGTCCACGTTCGGGATCAACGGCAGTATCAAGCGACAAGCTAGTTTGAAGTGGTAAACACGTACGAGGCGGCGAGGTGGGAGCGCCAGGATTGTGGAGGCTCTTGTTCAGGTCCGTAACAAGCTGTGCAAGCCAGGTTGTCCAGGGGGTGTTGCTCCGAGATATCATGGTACATGTCTGAGCAGCGAGGTAACCCAGCTGGACCGGCGCAAGCTTCCAGGCTTTGTGAGGAGACCAAGACTCAGTATCAATGTCGAGGCCCAAATCTTTGGCCCAGATAAAGTAGCTGAGCTCGTTGGTATGATCAGGCTCAATCACGTCGTGGTAGGTCAAGACCCTGAACGGCTTCCCCTGAGCTCCACATCGACCGACGTAGGAGATCAGGTCGTTCGCAAGAGTCCCGATGTCATTGTGTTTTAGCCGTACTTTTTCGTCGGCTGGCAGCTCGGAGCGTAGGTAGTCACTCAGACCAATGTGCCCTTTGAGGGCAAGCTGTTCCTCGTACCACTTGAGTGGCCTTTTGTGGCACATGCAGTGAGCGGAAACGTAGTTGATGGTGATAGTCTGCTCCAGACTAAGGGTATTGTTGGAAAAGAAGGTCATGTTGATCTGTAGGTAGAAAGAATGATGTTGAGGTGAGTAAGGGTGTAATACAGCATTGAGAAGACTAGAGGAAATATCAGAGGAGGGGATGGTCGATTTTTGTGACAGGCAAGTCAAGGTCATCAGTCAGAGCCTGACCAACAGCATCCCTTGCTCAATTCGTCCTCGGAACTGATGGCAAGAAGTAACAAGCATTTTGGGTGAAGCTCGAGAGAACCACGCTAATATTGGAGTGACTTACACGCCCCTGGGCAGTCGATGCCCGTGCGTAGCTTATTGCCACACCCTCCCTGCTCCTGATAGAGTTTGGGGCATGGCAAACTGACCCTGCAGCGGATCTCCTGGCAACTTCGAGGCACCCCGTTAGTTGCAACATGGATTTCGTAACAGTGTGCCAACCACTTTAAACGCCAACGTGGGCATGCTCACGGCTCATAAGCAATAAGTCTGTTTGAGTAAACATGGATATAGAGGTTTCGACTCAAGTTCGAATGTGATAGCAAACAGGGGATGTAAAGTTTGTGAGGTGCATCAGCCCCCTACCACTGAGTTCCGTCTTTCTCGTCGTGAAAGCAGCGCATCAACAGCAAAGGTCATTGCAACCCATGTCCAATCCACGCCGCATAAGTTGGACGGTGGAGGTGCAGCGCCAGACCCGCACTCCATGTGTCGAGGTATCCTGTGCGTGCTCTTGGGCATCCAGAGGATGAGGATGAGTATATAAAGCTAGAACAGTCATTCTACGTGTCGACACTTCATATTTGTTTTACGCATCCTTGATCCTCCATAACACCGAAGTAAATTTCCTACTTATCAAGAAGGATGATTCCATATTGCATCTTGAGTGAAAAAGCGGCCCGCTGTGTTGATATCAAGCAGAGTGAGTCTCGTTACGATTATCCTAAAAGACCGTATCTAAAAAACTAAGAACCAATTTTTGTAGGAAACAAAGTCGATGTGAAAGAATTCCTTGCTCTGGAGGGTTGTCATCGGATTGCGGATACGGTTCGCGTATTCTGTCTTTCCATTGAGCAGATTAAAGAGATCCCACTGAGCCAAGGCCAGTCCTGGGAGATCTTGACATTATCGATGAGCACTCACCGTTGGGTCGTTCGCTGCAAGATCACAGGTTTGGAGGATTCAAAGGTCCATTAAGTTATTTCTGGCAGACTAGCAGTATCTTATGAAGCGCTGTCTTTTATTAACCATCCTCATGTCACCACCCTCATCCAAAGACAATGATCGCATATTTCCCTTCAGATTGACCAAGTTGTAGACGTAGATTCCCTGGTAGCTGGAGGTGGCAAGTCTTTAATTACAGATGGTTTACATTCACCAGGTCAACACCTGTATGCAGTAGGATTGACGTGACAGGGTTAGAGTATACATCCTACATAGCTAGGATGCTTTCTTGATGGCTGGCGGTAAGAAGAAAGGGGACCAGGCTCCGGTATGGTCAAAGTAACTGTAGTCTGCAGGTCCAGGTTCTGCGGCCCTTGAAGGAAGGTGATGTGGCTGCAGAGCCTGATTGTGAAGGAGGCTCTGGCGGTGAGGATATGCTGTGAAGAGGACGGAGGGTATATTAGGAGCTATCATCAGCAAATTTTGACTGTAATAATCCCTTCAGTCTCATCTGAATCTTGCCCTTTTCAACATGATCTCGACTTGTGACACTTTAGGCGCTGGTAAGCCCTCCTCTGTGCTGTTTTCTATGCCCACCAATGTCTGACATCCTTCACGCCTCATCGCCCGATCCCACAATAAATGGCAGCAGTCTCGTAAGCGATGAATCAACCACTATAATTGCTTCAGATAGCCCAAGTCCTTGGGAAATTCTTGAGAGTGTTTTCGGGGCAGGAAGCGGAGGTCAACGTCCACACGAGCATGGAATCGAGGAGGTACACAAGTCAAAAAAGCCTAGCGACATCGAAATCCGAGGTGATCCGGCCAGGGTCCAGGAATGGGTGGAGAGTGTGCCTTTGTGGGGGACGCCATGTACTCTCGTTTATCACGCTGGTTAATAGGCTTACTTGAGTGATCTTGAACAATTAGAACGGCTATTCAACACGTATCACTTACCGACCAGCAATCTAAGACTCAAACTACTCAAACCCCGTGAGGTGCAAAGAAAAGTGTACAAGTGAGGTTTACTCTGAGCGATATGGTGAATATCGACGCTTGTCGTTGCACCTACCCTTAGATTTGGGAGAAGCTTCCGTGGCTCGGCTAGTTTTGGGCGGAAACGGTATGATTGGCTTGTTTCGTCGTGAGACACAAAGGACATGGAATGAATAACTTATTGCGTTCAAGATACGACTCAAAGGGCCATAGTGCTGCACTAAGGAGATGAAGTACGGCTTTTGTTCCATGGATTCGACCGATGCACTAAAACAACTTGTTAGTTTCCACCTCGTAGCATTAATCGATGCAGCTTAGAGTTATAGAATAACTCTATTTTCCACAGATTTCAGGATGTTGATTGTGTGAATTTATATGGTCCCTTGCAATATACCAGGAACAATAACAACGGTCTCCAGACTCAACGCCATAAACGAAGCATCCTGCGGTGGCAGGCTTGATGTGACATAGCTCCAGGTGAGGATCGCGCCGATGTTGGTCCAAGAGTCGAGTCGTCCTTATGAAACAAGGCTGCTAAGCTCCAGTCACAACTTCACTTGCTTGCGAAGCAGAGAACAGGCTCATATACATACTCCCTTGAGATAGATTTTCAGTCAGTCTGACATCCTGATCTTGACGACCCCCGTGCCGCTGTTGTTGTTGTTCTGTTTCACCCAATTTTACGACCGTTGTGACCCCGCAATCTACGCATAGATTCATATCAATCGGATTATCGCATATTTTCAGATGCTCATCGACAAGGAAGCTACGATAAGATAACCAGCTCTTTTTAGCCTCCTAATATTCATATAACAGTGTTAGTGTCATAGTTGTGCATATCAACAAGAAGCCTACACACGACAACGTGAACTCCCTTTAAGCACCCTCCCACGGACAAAAACCAGAGCACGATGACCGACCGCGATGACAAAATCCATAGACTCCAGCGAGAGCTGGATGCGATGCAAAAAAGAGAACAATTAGCTAATGAGCAAGCCCGACTAGCAAGAGAGCAAGAGAACGCAGCAAGAGAACGAGAAAAAGAAGCGAGAGAGCAAGAAAAGGCATCAAGAGAACGCGAGGAGAACCTCAAACGCGACCAACGTAATACCTCGTACGACGAGTATTTACTACTTTGCCACGAGATACTTTTCACACCGCTTAAAGTGCAAGACAAGTCGAAATCATCCGGCGGCGGGACAACCGATGTAACAGGCAAGCATTACCCATTGACGCTACGTCCTTGGAACGGATTTCTTGATGCACAGAGACTGTGCCACGACATAATTACAAAAACTACATCAGGCTTCCTTCTGCCCTCTAAAATAGCTGTTTGTGCCATAGCGGAAGCTTCCCACAAAAGGCCGGTCGCTAGTGAGGAGGATCTCAGAACTTTTGAGCATCTGGCTGTCGAAGATCCTGTGGAAAACATTATTGCCGCATTCGGTCCACGATCCCAAGATCACCCGAACGGACGGGATTTTGACTGTAAAGTAATCTCGTTCGAGAATCAGCCGCTCAGTCTGTTGGAGCCTGACGAGACTGATCGCGATAGTGACAGGAACGATGGAGATGAGATATTCTTCGAGGCTGTGCAGGGGCCGCCCGGGTCGAAAAAGAGGATGGCGCTCCACCGCAAAGTCGTGAGGAAAAGAGGGCCAGATAAATGGGCCATCCGCACTAGATTCTCGGGGCAACAGTGTACGGCATTCCCCGGCGAGTACAAAGCAGCACACAAAATACCTGTCGAAAGTTTTCAGAAAGCCATGCGAACAGAGGACTTATTTACTCGGGTCGTCCTGAGACTCTCTAGCGGCAAAGTCAGCAACGATGGAGAGACGCGTCTGCAAGAGCAGATAGAAGAGACAGTCGCCAAAGCCCTGGCTCAAACGTTTCACTACATGATCCGCCTTGGCTGTAGTTTTGGATACCTGACCGCTGGAAAATCACTAGTCTTTCTACATATTGGAGACGATCCCAAAGTCCTATACTACCACGTATCCCAACCGGAGGACGACGCTAAAAGCTCGGACGGGTCGATAGATCTATTTCACACTGCCGTCGCTCAGCTGGCAGCGTTCTGTCTACAGACCTGCCGAGACTCTGGCAAGCCTGATCTATGGAAAGAGAGAGCTTTCTCGCAGTTGAGGGAGTGGCCACAGCCATACGCTGAGATGCGTGGCGGAACAACAGAGGAAGAATCGCCTCAGTCAACGTGCTCTGCTTCCTCCTATCCTGGATCAACCACGGCTACACAAGAGCTTACGGTAGAGCTACGGCGAACAACAAGAGCATCGTGTAAGCCCACGCTGGAGCCGAGCACCAATGACACCAGCGATGATGACATAACCGGTGGCCCCCGTAGACGAACTGACGGTCTGCAACCGTCGCTGAGAGTGACGCATCCCGGATCTAAGAAACGGAAGGACGTTCCATCGGGAAGTGATGAGACTAGAAGCAGTGAGGAATTGGAGGTCGAGACTCGCCCCTATTGTACACAAGAGTGTATGCTGGGTCTCAAAAGACATGGGCATCTAGATGAGAAATGCCCGAATGTGGCACTGCATTGCCGTGCCTCTAGAAACATGTCACATCCCATCGATACAGTTCGCCTCAGGGAGCTTATACGAGAGGAACTGCACCGGCCCGTCCATCGTCTGCGTTCTGTCAAACCTCTGGATCGCGACGGTAAATACGGAGAGACAGGAGCGCTCTTCAAGTTATCCCTAAATCATTATGGATACACATTCGTTGGGAAAGGAACCTTTGCTGCAGCTACGAAGAGACTACGACATGAAGCGGAGGTCTATACGCGCCTAGAACCACTACAAGGCCACGTTGTCCCCGTTTGTTTGGGGAGTATTGACCTGGATATGCCGTATCCATTGGCTGCTGCTGATGTTGTTCACATGTTGCTCATGTCATGGGCGGGAGATGCGCTCACACCTGGCGATGACTTCTCGCCAGAACTGCCACGATTCCAGGAGTTGCTTCGTACATGTGGTGTCATCCATGACGATCTTAGGCAGCAAAATCTTGTCCGAAACTATGAGCAGGGACATATCATGCTCATCGATTTCAACCTAGCGATTATACTGCCAGCCATGCGGCACAAGCGAGTAGATGGGCTGTCTCACAAGAGAAAGAAGCGTTTGCGTGGCTCAGCCACCGGCAACGCTTTTGATGAACCCCGATCTCTGAAGCAGCCTAGGCGCCATGGTCATGCTGGTCGAGTTACTTAGCCGTTCAGCATATGTATCGAATGGGCTGCCAGAGTATGTAAGATTTCGCCGCTTGCACACCTCCTGTCCCTGGAGCTTTATGAGCTGCGAACCTGCCATGGGGGTGGAATGTTAATCGTGTTTGGTGTAGATAACGTCTGTACAAATTCGCTCAAAAACACCATCGGGGCGAATGCCATAGACAAGGAGGTCCATCGCCTTTAGGAGTCTAAGCGGGTTACACATCTGGGATAACGACAGCTTGAAGTGGCGTGTTGAGCGAGGAAATTGCACGTTGACCTTGTATTTCTTGCGTAGCACCAACCTACAATGTGACGGTGGGATGCTCAGTGTCGAACAAGCGTCGGCTTGACTGCCTAGTCAGCAGGTACATGCCTGGCTACCCTGCATTTGCTTCGAACCATTTCCCAGGAAATGAACTTGATCAGAACACATAAGTCTGGCATCGATTTCCAATAGCTTGTGGTCTTGTTCCAAGGCTTAGTACTAGTATACAGGGCTCAGTCTTCAATAATCTCCGTCCGGTTAGTCCAACGAATTAGATTAGCATCAAGAAATGCTTTCATGTCATCGCCGTCCTTAAACTCGGTGAGGTCAACAAAGTCGACTCGTGCCTCTTCTACTTCCATAGCCTCCGAATATAGCTTAACAGACCGATCGTGATGGAACATATCTTGCATCGTTGCATCGAGCTTCACTTTCGTGTCGACAACCTCAGTCAGATCAATATATCTGATTTGCGATGACCGGGCGGCAGGCTTTGGGGGACGTCGAACAGATCGGTCGTGGTGGAGTGTCTTCACGATAGCACCAGGCGCTCTGGCCTTCGGGTTCCGCTGACCATCAGGCAAACATCTATAGCCACGGTAATGCCTTCGAACCACCGCCTCTCCGGTGCCCTGGTCGGCATGTTCGATGGTGACGTGAAAACGCTTCAGCTCAGGAATAAGGGCTCCTATGGCATCGCTCCCATATGAGATAGACTCGTGGGATGAAGGGTTTGCCGAGCTCATGTTGGGACTTGGTGGACTTGGTGGATTGGGAGTGAGATGAAAGGGGGAGAAGAAGACGGACATGTTAAGGGGACTCTGCTGCTTTAAATACTTGTTCTGTGTCGACATGTGACAGGTTTATTCTATGTCGGAAATATTTGGTAAGGTTGTTGGATGGCATAACCTGGCTACGAAGGTATGCGTGATTCAAGCCATCACTTGCCAAGTTTAGTGATATGACACACAAGAGGGCCAACGCCCCTTTCAATCTATTTGCTAATGAGTGTTTGAGGGTACTAACGAATGAAATATGAACAAAAAATGATGAGCCAGGTATTTGGCGTTGCGAACTGGAGGTTACCATGAAATAGTTTGAGTCTGTGGTAAGCTTGACTCTCTGCAAACACAGCCGCCGTTGGGAACTAGAGGATGACAAACTACTCAAACAAAAAGGGTAGTGACACTACTGACTACCAGAGGTAGAGACCATCCCATTGTTCGAAACTGATTGGACAGTAGCCGACTTTCGTAACGACATGCCGATCTCTATCGCAGCTTTGGAGTTCCATGGGTTTGGGTTAGTAGGTGTGCAAGGTGCTCCAGGCCCTTCGTCCTCCTCATCTAGTACAGGATCGGCATAGTTCAGCTGGGCTATGTTAGAGCTCATGATACCAAAGTGGAGGGAGGTCAAGAACTGACCATTTCAACTGCCTCTTTGAGCGTCTGTCTTGCTTCAGCACGGAGTCTCTGGGCAGTTGCTTTAGACTCGTGCCAGATATACTCAGACTGGCTCAACTGCCGCACCACATTCTTTGACTGGCGATCTATAGATAACATTCTGGTGACAAGTTTGTCAAGAGTGGCTACGAACTCGGCCTTTGTTGGGGATTTCTGAGCCATGATAGTGTTTGATAGCTGTAAGTGTATCAGGAGTTCGCCTCATCTGGTCTCCCCAGAGAGGCTTTATATCTCAATGAGCAATCCACGACCTCATTATATCTATTTTAAGTAACCCCTCACGGTCTATAAATAGAGTGCTATCTTTCTTTTTGGCACATGGTCAGGGTGTTGAACATGTGTTCTAGAAGTGCGTTGTGGCTTTTGTCTATAGTCCATTATAATCTACGCCTGCGGTGTAGGAATACGCATCCGAGTTTGAAGTGTGTTTACGTAAACCATCCATCTACAGTACAGCTGAGTTCTCACAAGCGATCTCAAAACAAATAAAATGATGTTTCATGTATTCAAAGAGTAGCACTGCACGTAATAAACTATGACTGGTCCGGCTCGGACTTAGGAATGTCTGAGGGTGAGGAACTGCTAGACAGTTCGACAATGGTTTCCAGCCTTTGAACAACCCCGCTCTTAGGGGAATCTTCTTTCTCTTCAGATACGTCATGTGTAGTCGACTCTACATCTGTGTTCTTGTACGTGGTGGTGGGACCGACATCTCGAGGCATCTTCCTATATGTTAGCGCATCTCTAGAGTGAGCAAAGGGGAAGCTACCAAGTGACCCATGAGTAAGTTAAGTCGCTGGTTTTCCATTGTGACAGAAGTGATACGCTCCTGCTGAGCATTGACTAGAGCGCGCAGCTGCTGTATCTCAACATAGAGATGTTGACTTCGTTCTACCTCACCCACGTATGCACCCTGCCATGCCCAGCATGCGCATTGGCACTCTAAGAGTTGGTTGCAGAGTTGGTTGAAGTCTGCAGTGGTGTCTGTGTTCTCGGAATTCATCTTGACGGTGATGCAGGCAATTGGTAATTCTGCATCTTGAAGCAAATACAATATCTTGATGCCTTTTCTTATACGAAGCATCCATAATTTGAGCAAGAACGTGAAACATGATTAAGCAATCAGTATTATGATGGTGGGATGGTTGACAGAACCGGAGTGATGGCAAGGCCCGGGTGTCAGAATAGCGGGCGGTAGCGAATAGCCCAATGAGAAAGAATGTTCTGAGTGGCCAATCGCGATGTTCCCATCGAGGTACTGACCAAGTTTCGTTTTGAGATCTACCTATCAGATTACTCTTTGCAACGCTCCAATTGGGATGTAGAGATATGCGCCCAGTACCTAACAAAGTTACCATTCTCATGCTAGGATGGAGAAAGAAGATCGGTTGGACAAGAAAGTGCCTGCGCAGGCTCTCCATAGTCGAGTCGAAGATTCGCCAAATTGAAAAAAGCATGTGTGAGATCATGTATATCCCGCTTTCTGGTCTCTATATTTCCGATCCGGTCCTCCACTACTTGCTATTTGTCACACATGGATCGTCGAAACGAAACGCTGTCAGCATTACTGCTGGACTACGAAGCTAGCCTCAAAGCAAGGCTAGCCCACCGCGCTCATGAAGACCTGAGGGCCGAGGCAACTCTGGCATCGACGCTTCAAGAAGTGCAGAGTAACATCGAGATCGATCAGTCGAACTTGGACGAAGAACAGATACAGCTCAAAGACCAGGTCTTAAAGTTGCACACTGAAGCGCTTGCGATTCTTGACATGCTCAACGACAAGTTTAGACAGAGCGAAGAGTTAAAAAACAAAGCTGACACGTTGGTGACTTTTCACATAAAAGATTCACAAGAAGCTAGACGAAACTTGGATCGAGCGAGGAGTTGTGAGGATGTGGATCACCGCAACGCACTCGTGGCCGAAATTGTATGCTACCTGATAGACCTTGGAGTCCCACGATACTAAATATCACCAGGAAGAACTAATCACGGATCGGCCGAGAAAGAAGCATCGCAACAATGATATTCAGGACAATTGTCCTTCACTTCCGCCGACAGTCAACACAGATTGAGAGACCAGCTCTTTACCTTTCACATTCAAGCCTACATAACCTGTATATCAAACAAATTTCTTCCATACAATACCGTTACCAAGAAGCCGAACTATTTTCAGGGTGCCGTCGGTCTTCGCCCGTGTGTGACTCCGAAGAATTCCACCACCTTATGTTGGGTTTGGTGAAGAAACGACGTGTTGTAGTCTATTGCTGATAGTTTGAATGTCGAGACTGCCTCTAAGACGTTGAGGTGGCTCCTAGGCAATGGACTACTCCAGAGGGGGCTAGCGCTTGATCGTGTGAATAACTGCCCTACCAAAGAAATCGATCTGTTGCGCGTCTCAATCGCTCTGGGGGGTAGGTGGAGCGCGTTGTATACCTGCGCACTGGCTCGACTTCGTCATCGTAATCTTCGTCGTATCTAGCTCTGGAATTTGTACCTCTACGCTCAGCTCGTTCGTTATGGTAGTACTGCCCCATATCAAATTCATCGGGTCCATAGTCGAAACCTCTTTGCCTATCCTCATAGTCGTCTCTCCTTCGGCGTCCACCGTAGTGTTCTATCGGCCTTCGGAAATCTGTATCCCAATTTAATCTGTGACTGGCCTCTTCGGGATCTGCCGTCCTGCGTCTTCTGGTATCCTCCCTTCTTCTGGGTGACAACTCTTGGGGTTCTGAGTAAAAGCGACGTGAGCTCGTAGCAGGCAGACCATCAAGGGGCGAACGTCTCACAAGGTTTCGCCGATCTGGCGATGGGGACCTTGAAACCCCTCTCGTTCCTGTGAACCTGGTCTGTCTTCTTGACCTCAGCTGCTCTCCTGGGACTCTCTCAGGTCTAAGCGTTGGCTCTGGTCTTTGTGTACGTGGCGCCGGTATCCGGAGGGGTAGTGCTTGTGGTCGTGGCAAGTTCCTCACGGGTGTTTGTCTCGGGGTAGATCGCTGCTCAATTTCGCGTATCACCGAATCCTGGCGCTCACGCTTTATCATCTCGTCCTTGATACTAGGTAGGCCGTTTTCTAAGCGTGGAAAGTTCCAAGAGGGTCGCGCTCTTCGATCACCTCTTACGCTGATGTCGCGTATCAACATATCTGTGGGATCCTTTTGGCATGCAATCTCCACAGCCGACTTTGTGAACCACCTTTCTACCCCGTTGATCATCCACATAAGGAGTATATCCCCGCTTCTCCGACGTCTTCCTTCACCAAAGGCAATATCTACTGGTGGGTTCCTCAAAATGTCTCGGTTGTTCAGATTGATTGCTTCTCCAGGTGTGAGTTGTGGTATATCTCTGTCCTCATTTGCATATGTAGCTTGGACTAGAGTGTATGTCCGGGATGGAAGGATCCGATTGCTAGCCCCCAAGGGCCCCGGAAGGCTGAAGACATAAGAGCCTCCCTTACTCCTCCCTTGGAGTAAAGCCCAGCTTCGTTCGTCGTCTCGGGACCAATCTATAATCTTATACCATCGCTCGGGGAAAAAAGACTTTGCTGGTATGGGATCTCTGTCCATACCGCGGTCTAAGCATGGTGGTCTGTCCATGTAACCCTGGGCGTCTGGTGGGTGAGTTAGTTCCCAAGCATCAGGATCAAAGGACCAATAATCTAGATGTACTTGGCTGCCATCTTCTTGGCCGTCATCTTCTTGATCGTTACCTCCTTGGTCGTCACCTCCTTGATCGTCACCTTCTTGGTCGTCACCTCCTTGGATTTCACCTCCTTGGTCATCGTTTCCTTGGTCATCATTTCCTTGATAGTCATCGCTATCCTGTCTGTTGATCCGCACATTACGAGCTTCTCTTTCCATTCTTGTAGCTTGTATGGACTCTTCAATCAACTCCATTGCATTGATGAGTGAGTCGTAAGTATCTCCGCTACACTTACTTACCTCATCCAAAACCTCGTCAACGCAGTCCTCGATCTCACGTAACTCCTCTTCAGCCTGCTCCCAGGTCATTGCCCGAGTATTGACATCAAAATTTGTAATTCTTGTATTCAGCTGGTCGACGTGTTGTCGAGCGCGAACAACATCAGTATCATTTGTTGTATGTTGGGAAATAGTATCGTCATCCACTACATCATTGTTGTGAGATTCACCACCTCCTGTTAGAAGATTGTTACCTTTGGATAATGGCGAGGGTGTATTGACAACGGCAGCATTGGTGCCAGTTGGTCTTAAATATCCAAGAATTCTCGAGGCGATTCCAGATCGAGAAGATTCTGGCTCTGTTTGGGATTCATGAGTCTCTTGTTCTCCGGAAGGAATTTGCTCTTCATGGTCTCTCGATTTGGGGTTGTCCCCATGCTCAGGAGCGTCCTCAAACTCAAGAGCCTCTTCCCATTCAGGAGTCTCTTCTTGTCTTGGAGTGGCTTGTTTTGGGGTGGCTTGTTTTGGGGTGGCTTGT